CAAGCTAAAGGAAAATAAGTAATAGAAAATATGTGTGTTTTTAACTGTTTTTATTTTGTATTTTTCTCTTTTCTTTTTCATTTTTACTGTAATATTTCAAAAAACCTTAATAAATATCTTATAAAAAAAACAAAACAGAATGCGGCTGCTAGACTGGTGATTGGGGGTGGCCGCCAAGACCACATAACACCAGTCTTGAAAGACCTACATTGTCTCCCAGTACGTTTCCGAGCACAATTCAAAGTGTTGGTGTTGACCTTTAAAGCCCTAAATGGCCTCAGCCCAGTATACCTGAAGGAGCGTCTCCACCCCCATCGTTCTGCCCGGACGCTGAGGTCCAGCGCTGTGGGCCTTCTGACGGTCATTGCGAGAAGCAAAGCTACAGGGAACCAGGCAGAGGGCCTTCTCGGTAGTGGCGCCCGCCCTGTGGAACGCCCTCCCATCAGATGTCAAAGAGATAAACAACTACCTAACATTTAGAAGACATCTGAAGGCAGCCCTGTTCAGGGAAGTTTTTAATGTGTGACATTTTAGTGTATTTTTTGTCTTTGTTGGAAGCTGCCAAGAGTGGCTGGGGAAACCCAGCCAGATGGGCAGGGTACAAATAATAAATTATTATAATATTATTATATTGTAAATCAACCAGAACTCAAGTGATCTGAAGACTACGGTGTTGGCTTAAGGACTGAATAGGAATAAGTCTGAAAGGCATCTGCTACGCATACGATATGGAGAATCTAGCCTTGGTTGATTAACATTGAGAAACTCCAGCAGAAGTCCCGGAACTTGAGGGGCTTCTGCCTTCTACGGGGAAAAGGCTAAAATTGATCATGAAAAAAGGGAACCGGGAGCAGCCATGGAAAACCTTAACAAAATGTCGTTTGGAAGCAACAGCATGCCATTGAGAACTGCTGTATTTAGCAGACCCACCAAATGTCCCCATTTTCCAGGGACAGCCCCAGATTTACAGAAGCCGCCCCCTATTTTCATCAGAGAAATATTGGGAGGGTATGGAGCTTCCCTGGAACCAAATAACACTGAAAAAAGCACCAGCACTATATTCTGCCATGTTTCCAGAAGTGGCATTTATGTTATGTGAAAGCTCAGATATAATGCAGAAATTAGCAGTTAGGGAAAAGTCTGGGAAAAGGAATGAGCTGCCACATGAATGGAGTCTATGTTTGCAACCTCTTTGTAGGTTCTGCCCTTTTTATCGCTTCCTGAACAACATAGCAGAAGGGTTAATGATGAACTGCACCCTAATTAGTCACCTTTTGTTCTCCCTATGCGGGAGGGCAAGTTCAATTACTGGTTTACATTACTTTTCTTTCTTTCTTTTATTGTGAAAAACTGCTATTTTGCTATATTGTCGAATAAGCAAAAGGGCAGAGAAAGGAAAAGAAACCTCTATTTAATTCATTTTCCTTTCCCCTTAAAAAAAACCACTATGCCAGGAGTTGACTTTACAAGTCTTTAATCTTCAGAGGCAGACTGAATAGGGGGCAGAGCCTGCAAGGAAAATACTTTTAATTAAAGTCACAGTACAGTGGTACCTCGGGATGCGAACAGGATCCGTTCCGGAGCCCCGTTCGCATCCTGAACATAACGTAAGACGCGTCAGCGCATGCACGTGACGTCATTTTGACCATCTGCGCATGTGCGAGCGGCGAAACCCAGAAGTAACATGCTCCGTTACTTCCAGGTCGCCACGAAGCGCAACCCGAACGCGCTCAACCTGAAGCGTATTTATCCCAAGGTATGACTGTAGTTCTTAGATGCCTTAATGGCACTTGCCTCTCCCCTGGAAAGGCTGGCACTGTAACAGCAGTGTTTTTTGGGGGGGGGTGGGGATCACCAGAAAGTGAGTCTAAACATAAACGTGGAAGAAAGTGCAGAGAACAGTCGAATGCAACCATTTGGTACTGTCATCCAGATTCTCCATAGAGAAGTGTGTGACCAGATCTGTCAAGTCTAGATAAAGCTAGTTTTAGACCCAGTGATATGTCTGTTGATTTATATTAAAGACAGTGAAAAACAAATACAAATACAGTTACAAGAAAGGAGATTCCGAGGCAACATCAGGAAGAACTTTCTGGCTGCAAGAACTGTTTGACAGCGGAACGGTCTCCCTCGGGAGGTTGTGGACTCGCCTTCCTTGGAGGTTTTTAAGCAGAGGTTGGATGGCCATCTGTCATGTATGATTTAGCTGAGATTCTAGCATTGCAGGACATTGGACTAGATGACCCCCAGGGTCCTTTCCAACTCTACAATTTTATGATTCTGAAAACTCTCATTGTGACATGTGTTTTATATGCAAAAACGTGGAAAAATCCTCAAAAGGGGACCTATTGCAAAAAATATTTAAATGATTAAATTGACAGCTATGCTGAAGGACACTGTAATTTTTTTTCATTAAAAAAACAGCAACCCACATCCTTGCAGAACTGGATTGCTGCAACTTAACATAGTAGATGGAAGTTATATTCTGAAGAACAGAGGTAGAATCTATATCCCTATGAATTATATGAACAGGTGGCATAAAAAATGATGATAATGCATAGGGTAAAAACTAAATTTTGAATTAACATGTGACTTGTGTATTTTGTATCTGTTTACCCCAAGTTAATCAATGAGATCACCTTGAGGAACATCAGAAGCAGGATTTATGTCAAGAACAAGTCATGTCTTCAGTTTTGTGGGTCCAGTTCTTTAGAACTCCATCCCATTAGAAGTCACAAATGCTTATCTGATGTTTTACAATTATTTCATGTTCATGGTAAAAAAATTTGAGATTTTCAATTTCTGGGGTTTTTTGAGTTTAAATTTATGTTTGTAATTTTGCATATTGTATACTGATATTGAAGGAAGCCACTCTTGAGATCTAAATCATGAAAAGTGGGATGTGGTTTTAAAATACGTTGCAATGTAAAGGTAAAGGGACCCCTGACCATTAGGTCCAGTCGTGACTGACTCTGGAGTTGCAGCACTCATCTTGCTTTACTGGCCGAGGGAGCCAGCATACAACTTCCGGGTCATGTGGCCAGCATGACTAAGCCGCTTCTGGTGAACCAGAGCAGCGCACGGAAACGCCGTTTACCTTCCCGCCAGAGCGGTACCTATTTATCTACTTGCACTTTGATGTGCTTTCATACTGCTAGGTTGGCTGGAGCAGGGACCGAACAACGGGAGCTCACCTCGTCGTGGGGATTCGAACCGCTGACATTCTGATCGGCAAGTCCTAGGCTCTGTGGTTTAACCCACAGCACCACCCGTGTCCCTTAATTTACAAATAATTATGTGATGGATAGAAGCATGGTGGTTCTGAGAGACGAAGTTGACATTGAAACAACTGCTGTGCTTCAAGGGTCACCTATAAATCTCCAGCCTTTGATAACATGGACATCCCAATGTAGCTTAGAAAATCCAGAATCTCGTGTGGCACTTTGAAAGGAGATGGCCAGCCTCTTAGGGTCTCCTTACGCAAGGGCTCGCAGTATATCTTGCCACAACAGCCAAACACCTCGCAGAGAGTCAAGCTGTGGAATCATAGAGTTGTAGAGATGTAAGGGATCCCAGGGGTCCTCTAGTCCAAAGCCCTGTCAATAAATTGATGCCATCTAACATTAGCAGGCTGGAGACATAGGTGGCGCTGTGGTCTAAACCACTGAGTCTCTTGGGCTTGCCGATCAGGTCAGCGGTTCGAATCCCCGCGACGGGGTGAGCTCCCGTGGCTTGGTTCCTGCTCCTGCCAACCTAGCAGTTCGAAAGCACGTCAAAGCGCAAGTAAATAGGTACCACTCCAGCGGGAAGGTAAATGGCGTTTCTGTGCGCTGCTCTGGTTCGCCAGAAGCAGCTTAGTCATGCTGGCCACATGACCTGGAAAAACTGTCTGCGGACAAACGTCGGCTCCCTCAGCCAGTAAAGGGAGATGAGCGCTGCAACCCCAGAGTCGTCTGCGAATGGACTTAACTGTCGGGGTCCTTTACCTTTTTTTAACATTAGCAGATTCACAATAATGGAGCACAATCGCTGAGACAGTGTCACCACATCACATCTGAAATCAAAGATTGAAACATGGAGCCTCTCTTTTTTCTTACAACTTGGAGAAAGTTGGCTTATTTTCCATACAAATGGAACCGGGAGGAACTTTTTAAAAAACAACAACCACATCTTGATTTAAATTTGATTGGGTCACCAGCAAGGGCTGGATAAAACTGCTTCAGGAGCAGCGCCGGCCGGCTATCCATTATCAGATGTTTTAATCTGCGCATCCCTTTTACACTGCAAAGCAAGTAGCATGTTGAATGTCAGCAGACAATTTGGAAACACCACCGCCAGGCAGCGCGTACTCAGGGTTCCATCCTGTTTTTCTCTCTTGTACCCCAGGACCAAAGCAGCTTCCTTTCCTTCCCAACTGCGGACAAGGAAGGAAAGCAGCCTGCGGAGTCATTTCCTGTCTGGAAAGACCTGGCCTAGTAGTGGGAGATCAATCCTTGCTTGGAAACAAGAGGCAAAGTAAAGGATGCTTTCTGACGGGCGTGTATATTAAAGCAGCTGTTGGAGCCAGTGGTCGATACAGACAAGACCTTCCCCTTTGATAAGGTAACCAGCACTTTGTAACGGTAAAAGCTGAGCCATTTCAAAGCCAGAATTAATGACCAGCGCGCCATGAGGAGCTGATTGGAAGTGCTTGGAGATTTCTTACCGTTCCTCGTTAGTCAGATGGAGATTTTGCCCCCACCCCACCCCAAATTTGATCCCACAGAAGCAAGAGAGTCTCTGATTCATCACATTCCCCACAGGACTGTCAACGCCATTCAGCCACCATGACAGACTTCCAGTTCCTTTTCAACTCATCTTTGGTTGCAAGATTTTTATTTTGTTTTTGTTTTTTTAATTTAAAAAAAAGACAGGGGAAAAAAAACACAAACCACGACAGAACCAAATAAAATAACAAATAAAAAAAAATCACTCAGAATATTTGTTACATTATCATCATCATCATCATCATCATTATTAATTTTTTTTTCAAGTCACTTCTAAGCCCCACAGTTACAAATAAATTAACGAGACAGGATCAGACCCCGGAAGATTTAAAAATTAAAATAAAAATAAAAATTGAATACTAGGAACTAACTACCTTTGGCAAAGTTATCACACGATTTTTCCACTGCTCCCGGGTTGGCTACAGCAACAGGCCAGTCTTGTTGGGGTGGTGGTGGTAAGGGAGTCGGGGGCTGGAGCAGCATCCCTCATGCAAAGGTCAGCCCATTTGACCCACTCTTCCAGGGCTATCAAAATGTGACAGACACCCTCCCTGGTATAGAAGCGCCTCATGAGGTTTCCTTCTCTCGTGACCCAGATACGGGCCACCGAGGACCTAACAAGCACCCAGGAGAAGAAGTCAGGAGGACAGGAAGGGAGAGATGCTCCATGGAGCCTTCAGTGGGATCTACGGTCAAGAATTTGCGTTGGATGTCGGATGGCGCCCGAGTGGAGGTTCTGGCACCATAGCTGTCCTGCAATTAACCCCGGTGCAAAAGCCCCCGTTATATTAGGGCAGAACCCGCTTTATGTAAACAAGGCCCACTGAGATTCATTTAGCCCCCACGACAATTCCGACACCTCTTTTACCCAAGCGGCCGAGTCTCCTCTTCCAACACAGTGGGAAAAGAGTCTCCGTAAAAGGACGCCAAGGTTTTAAGGGAATGGATCACCTTTTTGGGGGCCTGGGCCGTCCTCCTGATTTCCCTCCTGGGGGTGAGAGAGGATGCTGCCCCTGATCCCCACCGCCCCAAACAGACCCGTCCGGCACACACCCTTAATAAAGCTTTTCTATTTGGTTTATCATTAAAGTATATGAGGTATATGGCGGGCTATCTCCAAAGAGCCTTATGGTGGGTGTCTTGGCACTATGAGGGGAGGGAGGGGGTCTAGCCTGCCCCCCTCCCTTGTGCCCCCCCAACCCTGGGTCGGGCACCGGCACGGAGGCGTGTGAGCAAATATTTGGTTTTACAGCTGTACTTTAAAGCTTGTTTCCTTCCTCGTTCTGAAACTCCTAGGAGCGTGGGAGGTTGGCGGAACAGAGAGATGTGGCAGCTTTTCATAGAGGGCAGCCTGGCATCTCGCGCCTGTTTTCTCTTACCAGCCATTGGGGGGGGGGAGTATGTGGACTAGAGAGGCAAGGATGGCTACGGAGACACAGCGAACCATCCTGCCCCACAAGACCGGTGGTCAAATCTGAAATGATTCCCATGTAGTTTTCCTCTGGACCAACCAAAACAAAATTTCCCTCCCCAGGCTAGCGATAACTCTGCATTTAGTCCTCGTTTACAGTCTCCAATTTGGGGGTGAGGGAAGAAGTGGGGGTACCCCTCTGGCTTGAGTCCGCAGTTGCAAAATTCACAACCTCCCATATATCCAACTCCTAAAACTGGAGAGAGCCGGTCGTTGTTGTTGTTTTTAAAAAAAGAGTTGAAAGTGATTTGAGACAGGCAGCATCACTCACTCTGTTTCTCTTGCCCCACTATTGCCTCTGGTCAAACAGCCGGCTGGTTTCTGAAGGCAGAGAGAGGGAAGAATGCCCACATCACCACTCTGTCATTCCCCTTTCAACTCTCTGAAAAAGGAAACGCCTCTCTCCAGGTTCTAAGCAACCTTTCCAACTTTCCATCACCCTTTGCTTGCCCTATATATCTTGGCTGTTTCCCCTCCATGCCATTCACCCACCGCTCAGCTCCGCACATGGAGATAGGGTCATTTTTGGTCTAGAATCAATTTTTTTAAAAAAACACGTTTTGGTTTTTGTTTCTTTTTTTGTTGATTTTTTGTTTAGTTTTTTTCCCTTTTTTATCTTTTTTTGTTGCAAACCTTTAGCGTTTGTTTGTTTTTTTGTCTTTTTTTTAATACAGTAAGAAGCGATAAAGCGGAACATAGAATTTTCTCTATAAAAAAAAAATAGAAGATACCCCCCAAAAGAATTTTTTTCCCCAAAAAAAGAAAAAAAGAAAGAAAGAGTAACAAATATCACTAAAACAGTTACATTCCACCTAGTAACACGTTCAGTAGCACATGAGAGAGAGAGAGAAATTGGACTCCCCAAATGTTTTTCCTTCTTTTTTCCCCAGATGTCCACCATAATAGCATGATTGGAATCTTAAAAGAGACAGATAAATACTCGCTGGTTCTCTCTCACTCACGCACATAATGGGATGAAAAACTTTTTTTTCAAGTCTTTTAAAACTAGGTGTTTCCTGTTTTTTGTTTGTTTGTTTCATTTTTGGAAAGTTTCACAGTATTTTTTTTTCTTTTGTTATCTCAAACCCACCTGAACGCTATAACACAGCAAAAGCAGGAGATAAAATGAGGTCGAGGGTTTTTTTTCCCTTTAAGAAAGGTTTCAAAGTTCTTTTTTTGTTTGTTTGCTTGTTTATCTTTTTTTCCACTCTGTCCTTTTGTTTGGTTTTTTGTTTTCTACCAGATCGCAGTATGCCATGGCTAACTTCCTTCTCTGCAACAGCAAGACTTTGGTTCGCAGGAGTTGAAAGTAAAAGACGAACATTCAAAGAGCCCCCAAAACATTGACTAAAAAAAAACACCCCTCAAACACATTTAGAAATAAAATCCCAAACCAACCAGTTTTTTAAAAAATAAAATAAAGGAAACCAACAAAAAATGTACAAAATAAAAGTTTAAAAACAAAAAAATAAAAAGAGCGTTTTGAGAAGCCATTTTTAAAGCTTTCTAGACTTCTGGGAGGAAGTTTCAGGATCCTCTGATCTCACCCTCCCAACTTCCATTGATTTGGTTCGTTTTACTTTTATTTATTTTGTCTCTTTGCCACTTATAAAATCTTGGCTTCTCAACGCACCTTTCCATGAGGTATTTTTTTTTTCAGGACAGAGAAAGACGGTTGAGCCATTTGTCTAACCAGAGAAAGTAAAGATTTCCCATTTATTCCCACGTATTTTTTTCATCCTTTCTTCTTCAATTAAAAGTTTTTTGTGTGGTGGGTTTTTTTTGTTGTACGCTTCCTTTGTTCACTTGGTTGGTTCTTTTTGGTTAAAAGTTTTGTCTCTCGCCTCCGAGTCTCTGTGAGCCACATAAAAGGGGGGATTTTTATCCCTCTTCTGTGGTTTCATTTTTATTCCCCAGTGGTCTTCATCTTGTTGTTTTCTGTAGTGATGTCTATCAATTTTTGGTTTTTTTTCTGGAAAATGTAAAGAATGCTGAAATTCCCGTTTTTTTTGTTTTGGTTTGGTTTTTGTCAGGCACTGGAATATGAGTATTATTTTTTTTTTCAGAACACAGATATAAAAATAAAAAGAATAAGAATAAAAATTACACATCCCCTGTTTTCAGAAAAATAACCCCTGATACTAACCCCAGGCAAAAATCAATTTAGAAAAGAAAAGCTACAGAAAAATTGAACACTGGCGAAAGAAAGAAAAAGCCGATAAAACAAAACGTACACGTTTAGTGCTGCCCATCCCGAAACAGTTGAAGGCTGAGACTTTCAATAAGGCTTCTTGTCTTGCAAAGACATGAGTTTTTACATTTTGTACCCTGTGAGTAACCCAGGTGTTACTAATAAGCTTACTCCTGAATGGATGCAATTCATTCCGTCCTCAGTGGGGTAACAGGGAGAGGGCAAAGCCTAGGCTCCTCCATCTGCACTCGATATACTAGATCAGGATGGGGAAACTGTGGCCTTCCAAATGTTCCTGGACTCCAGCTCCCATCAGCTCCAGCAAGCATGGCCAATGCTCAGGGATGATGGGAGATGTAGTACAGCAACCATTGAAGGGGCACAGAGTTCTCACCCAGGCACAAGATACTCTGGCCTTATGATGAATCAGAATCAGAGGTAAGGAAATAGACAGGGAGCAGTTTCCCCACCACCACCAGCTCTCCTTTCAAGCCAGAAATGGCTATATATGTAGGAATGCATTGGCAAGCAAGCTGGTCAAAGGATGCTGTGGTCTAGAGGTTCTTGGGTGTGTTTTTTTAGTTCATTGCAAGGCTGAGTCAGGTAGAAGCAGAGATGCAAAAGAATAATAATCATCATCATTGCAGGACATCAGTTAGGAAACCATCATGGGAAGTTGGTACCTAATTCTCACTATTGCCTTTTGAAAATCCTAGCCTTCGAATCCCTCTAAACTATAAAGTTTGTTCCGAAAAACACAGCAGAAAAGGATATTATTTTAGCATTTTAAAAAGGAAAAGGAAAATATTTATAGCAAGATCCTGAAATTAAACCAATATACCCCCACCCTGTCCAACCCTTTCTAGATCCCAAAGAAAAGTAAAAGAATAAATAAGAATAAATAAGAGTTTTGAAAGACATTCGACCAGACACAGAAGTTAGAAAAGTCTGTAAAAAGCTTTGGGTGAAGCTAGGACTGGTGATTTTTGGTGTGAGATTCATTTTCCCCTTAAGGATTTTGAATGTGTTTTTTCTTTTTTTCTTTTTCTTAAAAAAAAAAAAGAACAACCGATCCCCGTTTATTTGTTTCCTTTCTGAAACTGTCCAGGAAACTAGCGAATAAGAAATAAAGAGAAATCAATGAAAATAATTCAAGCAAACAATTGACAAAGTCACCTTTTGCAAGGCATTTTGTCCTGAACATCGGAGGGGAAAAAGAAAAAAGGAAAAAAAATAAACGCTAAAAGTTTGGGGAATTCTTTTTGGTTTCTTCCTTTGTCCCTTTTTGCTTTGCTTGTTTGGTTGCTTTGGGTTATTTTTTGGTTGGTTTTTCGTTTGGCTGTTGCTGACAATTCTTTGTTTGGTTTTTTTTTTTTTTTGGTTTCACTCGTCGGTTTGTACGTCCGCTCCTTACTACCCCCACGTGTCGAGAAGGCGGGGAGGATGCTCCCCCCTCAGCCCTCATTCCGTCTTGGCATCCGGCTCGGTGGATCCGGGACCAGCCTGCCCCAGAGTCTGCGCCACTTCACTGGAGGAGCTGCATGAGGAACAGGAGGAGGAGGAAGAGGAGGAAGAAGAGGAGGAGGTCAGGGTGGGCGACTTGCTGGGCATGGAGGCAGCCACAGCAGCAGCCGCCGCCGACACCAGCCCCACGCCTCCCGGGGCAGCACTCAGCAAGGGCAGGCCTGCATGGTTGAGGAAGAGCGACGAAGTCACGATGCTCTGGCTTCCAGTCGTGCCTCCGCTGGTACTGAAGACCAAGTTACCACTGGCATCAAGGCTGGTAATTGGCAGGCTTCCACCACTGGCCAATGCTGCAAAGGAGGAGGGGGAAAGAACAGCAGTTAGGGCGCATGTGCGCCAGCATGATGCCAGCGGCTTCTGGTCACAGAATCGTCGAAACGTAGAAGCGTAGATTTGGAAGAGACCACGGGGGTCATCTAGTCCAACCCCCTTGAAATATACTCGGAGGTTGCGGATTCACTTCCACCTGGAGCAGGATTGGGTGGCTCCTGTGGACCAATCAGACTGCTGCATTCTGGACCCTATTGTTCTAGCACCAATCAGTGTGCTGCATTCTGAATCCTATTGTTCTAGGACCAATCAGACTGCTGCATTCTGAATCCTATTGTTCTAGGACCAATTAGACTGCTGCATTCTGAATCCTATTGTTCTAGGACCAATCAGACTGCTGCATTCTGGACCCTATTGTTCTAGCACCAATCAGACTGCCTCATTCTGAAGCCTATTGTTCTAGGACCAATTAGACTGCTGCATTCTGAATCCTATTGTTCTAGGACCAATCAGACCTCTGCATTCTGAATCCTATTGTTCTAGGACCAATCAGACTGCTGCATTCTGAATCCTATTGTTCTAGGACCAATCAGACTGCTGCATTCTGAAGCCTATTGTTCTAGGACCAATCAGATGGCTGCATTCTGAATCCTATTGTTCTAGGACCAATCAGACTGCTGCCTTTTGGATCCTATTCAACTCAGTACATAACACCCCTGCAATGCGGGACTTTTTTGCCCAACGTGGGGTTCAAACCCACAACCCTGAGACTAAGGGTCTCCTGTTCTTCCGACTGAGCTATCCCAGCCTCCAGCATGCAATGGGCCCAGAGGAATTGCATTAGCGCTGTGGCTCTCCTCTTGATGTGTTGATGCGGGGGTCATCTCTCATCAGACCACTCGTTAATTTCTCAGGAGCCTCCAAGGCCCCCCACCATGACAAAATGGCAGCAGCACATTTCAGCACAGCCGCAGTTCAAACAACACCTGCTCCCAACCACAGCTCCACATCACCGTCTCCCTCCCCCAGCACGTTTCACATAGAAAAAGACACATGGTGTGTGGCGGGAAGGGTGAGCACAGATGATTAGCAGGTGCAATGTTACAGACGGATGTTATGAAGTAGGATGCTTTCTACCATAGGTAAGCTAAGGGATGGGATGGAGAAGAGACCTCAACAGGAATGAGAGGAGGTTCTGAGGGACTCCACTGACCTGTTGCACTCATGCGCATCCGCACGACATTTGCACAGCAGCATCTCACATACACTTTCACCTAGACTCAAATGTTTCATGCTTGAAATCATAGAGGGGGAGGCGTTTTTAAAGACAGGCCTGCACATGGGGATGGGCCCAATGCATGCCTTGCCTACAGAAGGACACAGTTTCAATGCCCTGCATCTCCATCTAAAAGGATCACAGGGCTGAAAGAACCCTGTTTGAATCCTATAGGAGCTGCTGTTGAATAGACAGCCCTGGGCTAGACAGACCAGGGGTTTGATTCAGGGCAAGACAGCTTTATCTGCTCAATCTGTAACCCATCAAGGCAAAACACAGGCACACCAGTGATGCGCCATGGGCTTGACAATCCCATTTTTGTAGTTCTAAGCAGGTACAGTGGTGCCCCGCAAGACGAATGCCTCGCAAGACGGAAAAACCGCTAGACGAAAGGGTTTTCCGTTTTGAAGTTGCTTCGCAGGACGAATTCCCCTATGGGCTTGCTTCGCAAGACGATAATATCGTGCGAGTCTTGAGAAATTCTATCCGCTTTCCACCCCCTTTATCTAATCTGCTAAGCCTTTAATAGCCTTTAATAGCCTTTTAGCAGCTAATCCCCTAAGCCTTTAAGCCTTTAATAGCCGCTAAACCGCTAATAGCGCTAATAGCGCTAATCCGTCAATGGGCTTGCTTCGCAAGACGAAAAAACCGCTAGACGAAGACTCTCGTGGAACGGATTAATTTCGTCTTGTGAGGCACCACTGTATTAAAAACTGGTTTCAATGAGTCTCTGATAAGCCATCGTGCATGACTGCATTGGGCATGGTGGGTAACCAGTTTTACAGGCTGGTTTTAGGCACTTCTACAAGTGTGATTTCTGGCTGGTCACTGTGGGGAACAGGATGTTGGACTTCAGCCTTGGACACAGAGTTTTACATCACAGACCCTGTGCCATATGATGACCTCAGTGAGCAGACAACACGGGTAAACTGAAAGAAGTGGGCAGAGAAATTCATGGTTGGCTCAATGCTGCCACCTGTTGAGAATACGAATGAGTGAATATGCCAATTTCTCTGTCTCTCATTTTCCCAATCTTAAATTCAGCTTTCCACATTAGTTTGTGATTTATTTATTTTAAAAAAAAATCCTCATGAAAATTCACCAATGTTTTAGTGTGAATTTCTCCTAATACGTAATCAGTTTTGAAGAATGGCTGTGTTTCGGGTTTATGTATTCCTTCTGTGTGTATTTGTTCACATACACACACTTTTTCTTCTCTCTCTCTCTCACCCACACCCACACACTCTTGTACAGACAGGCCAGTGGAGCAAATGGCAGTGATGACATCATGTCTGATCTTCTTTTTCACAAACCTTGTATGGTGGCCAGCGGGTTGGTGGCCATTAGCGCTGGGTTTAACCCTGCATTCACCCCTAGCACTGTGCTTCTGAAATCAAACCAGAGGCAGCAGGTTAAAGTTGGGGATCTACAGTGCTAACACTAGAGTGCCACCCACCCACCCCCACAATCACCTGTTCGAAATGGGTCCAGAAGGTAGCTTAAAATGACGTGTGAGACATTGTTTTATGGAGAGTCTATTATTTCAGGTGAGTTCTAATTCCCGTACTGTTTGGGTTCTGTCCCCCAAGGCCCCCTTCCTCTAATGGTGTGAGCCTAGCCAGGATCAAACCTCTTCTCCCACAGTCCAACCATTGAGGAAGCTGAACCCCCCCCCCAAAGACCTTTCTCTCCCACACCACTTACCCCGTACTGGGATTCAGGCCTTGCAAGCTGATAGCTGGGTGACTGCTGCTCTGGGGGCTGGGGTTTGTGCTGTTGCTTGGGGGTGGCGTGACCGAGTTGAGGGTGGTGCCCCCTGCTCCCACCGCTGTCCGACTGGGGGTCAGGGAGCAGACTGTGGGGGACAAGGTAGTAACTGTCCAAAAGAAGAGCAAAGAAAGTGAAGGAGAGTTGCCAAGGCTGGTGGTCAGAAGCAGGAGCCCACAGACATGGTAGCCAACCATTATTGGGAGCTGCACCAACTCTGCCTCTCCCCCCAGAGAGGGCATCCTCCCAACAGCATGATGAACTTCAGAGGCACACAGAAGTGAAAGATCTCTACATGTTTCCAAGTTCCTCTGAAGCTCAGTGTGACATCTCATCCCCTGAATGTTCAGAGTCAAGACAAAACTAAGTACATCTTTGCAGAGCACGTAATTAAAATTTAGATCTTGCTACTACTGGATACCTCCTGCCAACTTAGCAGTTCAAAAGCACGTCAGAGTGCAAGTAGATAAATAGGTACCGCTCCGGTGGGAAGGTAAACGGTGTTTCCGTGAGCTGCTCTGGTTCGCCGGAAGTGGTTTAGTCATGCTGGCCACATGACCCAGAAGTTGTACGCCGGCTCCCTTGGCCAATAAAGCATGATGAGTGCCACAACCCCAGAGTTGGTCACGACTGGACCTAATGGTCAGGGGTCCCTTTACCTTACTACTGGATACAGTGAGGTGTGGGGTGAAACTGCCGCAGCTCTCACCATGAGAGCAGAGACGCTTTCACCCCAGTGCCTCACAAGCTGTGACAACTTTTTTGTGAGGCTTTTTTACGAGGCTCAGCTGGGGGGTGGGAAAGCTCCCCCTCCCCAGCTGAGCATTAAACTGCTCCTGTCCCGCCCCCAGCTGAGCAAGCCCTATGCTTCTAGCTTGCTTGCTCAGCTGGGGACAAGTTTAAAGAAGCCAAAGGAGGAACAAGCTGTATTGGCCTGGCAATACAGCTCACTCCTCCCTCTGTGGTATGAAAGGCGGAGTGATAGCAGCTTCACCTGACAGTATATTGCAGGTGAAACCGCCACTGATCCTGAGTCCCTCTGCTACCAGCGGCCCAATGTTGAAAGTGGCACTGGTAGCAGAGGAATTCAGGAGTGGCATCAGTTTCACCTGCGATATACCACCGGGTGAAGCCACCATCGTGGTCTGCCTCTCATACCAGTCCTGGGTGATGTATTGATATTTCACCCAGGCCTAATGATGTTCACGTACTACCTCCAGTACTGAAGCCAGTATACCTCTGAATCACAAGTGGGGAGTAGCACTGTTGCACTCAGGTCCTGCCCTAAGCCAACAGCTCCATAGATTGTTTCCCACTGGAGGAAGAGAAGAGCAAAGCAGGAGTGTTCAAGCTGTGTGTAATTTGTATAACCATGGTTTGTGGCTTAGGGCTTATCCACACTCCGCCCTTTAAAACTCTGTGTCCAAGCAAGCGCACACAACCTTCTTTTTGCTGCAAAGCTTTTTCTGCAAAAACCTGCTCTTTAACGCTCAATTGGAGTAAATGTAAATCTGCGGAAAACCCAAATTGGTGTTTGCTTTAGAAAAGTGCTAAAGAGCAGGTTTTCGCAGGGAAAGATCCAGAGGCACTGAACTTTTACGCATAAACCTGTGTCTGCAAAGAGCGGGGCAGGGCAAAAGGGAAGTGTGAATAAGCCCTCTGTGTTTCATTCAAATAGTTGGACAGTTTCTCCAAAACAGCTTTTCCCTCTGCAGAATGCCAGATGAGAATTTGCAGGGGTAAACACATTGGGAGCGCTATGGAGAGCTAAGCCAGCTAAGCGCATATGCTTTTGAACATTAAAAAAAAAACCCATCACACAAATAGTTAAGATCCTCCTTGTCACATGTCATTTGTCTGCCCAAAATTGCAGCCTCCTAAGAATGTTTTTCATTAAAAGAAAAAAAAAATGTTATTGTTGGATGTTGTTAAACATATTCCTGCGCTAACATGTCATTGAATATATCAGCACTAGGTCAGGTTGGATGGCTTCGCATTGGTTTTAGGCTGTGGTGTAACCAGACAATACAACTGCCATCACCTGCTGCTGAAACATTGGCTGAGCATCACCCCAGATTCCAGCCTGCAGATCTCACCAAGTTCAAAACAATTCCTATGTCTGCATCTGCCATAGCATTGCCAGCGGCATTACAAGTGCCAGGTCATCACAATTCAGAGGCAATTTCCCAGTGTGTGGGGTATGTGGTAGCAGCAGAGGGAGCAAAGCACAACTTTCTTGTGCTCTTTTCGGCCTCACTAGCACTCCAAGTCTTGCTTCCAAGTCCCCTTAAGCATGTAGCAAGAAGTTACCGGTAAGTTTTGCAGAGCTAAAAGGAGAGCACAAGAGTGTTGCACTGTTTCCACACCAGGTATGGGACTGGGACAACTAGTCCCATCATCTCAAGTGAATAATATGTGCATAGCAGCATTTTCTTACCTGGTAGTCCCAGTCCTTTCCTGGCATGGAAACATGCTCTCCTGGGGCCTCTGGGGCACCTGCTGCCTTTTCTGCCATTGCCACCTCTTGCTGTGCCAAGGTAAGGTATACAGGTCAGGGCTGGGGAAGGAGGTGGCAATGGAGGCAGCAGGTGCTTTGAATGACTGTAAGCATTTTGCAAGTGCCGAGAGTGGGTCCTCAAAAGCGCTTGGGCCTTTGGAAGTCTAACATCAGGATGCATTCTCACTCATAACCCAACAGACTGCTCTTGTGTCATTCCCACAACCTCAATACCTTGAGCTCTCAGCAGCCCACCACTGGACAGCTATGCTAGAAGGAGGCAAAGGAAAGGGGGGTCCCAGGGAGAAGGGAATGTGTCACTAAAAGACAACTACCTGTTGTGCTCAGACTACTGGAAGCCTGGGAGAGGGGCAGACTTGTGCCGGTGCCTGGGCTGGTCACCTGGAGGAGATGCAGCAGAGAAACGGACTGTCAGAGACACAATGGATAAAATCCACATAAAGACCTTTCTCCCCTGACTGGGGATCATATCTAAGATGCAACTAGCAGACTAGGCTGGGGCGAAACTCATGAACGACTTAAGTATGTTAGACATAAATTCTGTAATGTGAGCAATAGGAATGTACATTATTTGAGGAAGTTAAGGTAAGAAGCCTAGGGACCTGGAAAGTTTGTACCATGTATCAAATGGGGTGGTAAGTGGATTGGTAAATGCAAGCTCAGTGGAGTTGCAGTGAAAGATCAGGTAGGTAGGCAGAGTTTTGTATGAGCACAATATATGCATCATGTAAAAGGATATATCAAGGAAGGAAGCTGTGTATCATATGGGGGGGCAAGGAATGTAGGCATTGTCCATTAGGGGAAAGTAGTGGGGGTGGGGTTCACACTCCAAACTGTGAAGCTAAGTGTATGATTAAAGATGCAGTGCAGAGGAAAATAATACATGTATGTATTCAATTTTATTCATTTTTATTTATTAAATGTCTATTCTCTGAAAGGAGCCCAGAGCAGTAAATTCAGAAAAAGTAGCACTATTAAGGCATCTGAGAAATAATCCTGACACATATGCAGACTTGGATAAAGGCCACTAATTAAAAGGCTTGCTGGAAGAGGAAAGTCTTCAGCAGGTGCCAAAAAGACAAACAGAGCTAGCACCTTTCCAATATTTAACAGGTAGGTACCACAACACCTGTTACTATTATTTTAGCACATCACTGGTTTAAATTTTTTGAAAGTTTTAAACAGTTGCTTTTATCTTTTTTTAAAGCGATAAATATTATTGCTTTTTTGTAAAGTGCTTTGAGGGGTACAAAAAAACAAGTAGCATATAATTTTACTGAAATAAATAAGCTCTAAAGGCCAAATTCAACTATTGTGCAGAATGGACACCCTGATAAGATGGTATCCGCAAGAGGCCCTAACCTGCACAGCACAGAAGGCATGTTCCATACAGGCATATTCCATGGAGTTTTGTGCCGGGGGGGGCGGGGAGTGAATGTGTGTAGGAACGTACCATGTGAGGGCTGTAGCCAGGAGGCTTGCCCTGGGCAGGCAACATGGGAGCAGAGCTGCAAGGGTTAATCCGCTTCTCTTTCTGGCGGCGGTTGCAGAACCAGACGCGAATCACCTCCTTCTCCATGTTCAGTTGCTCGGCAATAAGTAGGATCTCCTCTGAGGTAGGCTTCTGGTTCTGCAGTTTGGGGGAAGGTGTTGGAAGTGGGGGGGGGGACAGGATGGTGTGACATTGGGGCAAGTCATGGCATAGAGTCCCAACAGGAAGAAAACAAAACAAATCATAGAAACATGTAGGGGGCTGTTCTACTCATTCTAAAGAACGTTAGATCTGCTGCCAAACTATCACGTGAACCTGAAATACAGGCAGCGGATGAAACTAGAAAGGATGAGGCACAGAACTGCTGCTGCTCTGTGTCACTTTCTCTGCTCTTTCTGGTACACAGTACATGACAAAAAGTCATCCTGCTGAGAATTTCCCTGCTTTTGCTTCTGACAACCAATAATGTGAGGCTTAAGCTGACCTATCAGTTAAACGCAAGAGGGTTAAATGAACTTAAAAAACAACCCAGAACACACACCTAGGCTGTGCACACACCTTGCATTTAAATACACATTTAAAGCACATGGTTTTTCAAGTGCTGTGAACGGTGAACTGTGGCTGCCAGGATTCTCTGGGGAAAGTAATGTGCTTTAAATGTATGGTGTGTACACACTTCCATCAGCTGGAATCAAATGAGAAGAGAGTCAGCCATTCTTTTGTGAGACCTGGGTTCGAGTGGTAGCTCAGCCAAAGACTGGCATAAAGACTTTGGGCAAGTCATACTCTCTCAGCCTTGTTTTCCCCTTTGTTGTAAAATAGGAGTGTCATTAATTACCTGGGCTAAAACCATGAACCCTTGGCTCTGTGTGAGCCACCAGAGCAGCAGTTTGGAGCACCTTCTAGGTAGGGCAATGAAGTCTTCTCAAGCTCTTCCTAGGATGGCCATTGGGCCCTCCTAAATAGGAAGAGTTATAGAGGGCTTCCTGTTTGGGTCAGGAGTTTGCCAGAGCAAAGTGGATTTCCTGGCTCTCGTGTTTTCTTTGATTCTGACTCATGCCTGGTCCAGGGATGAGAAACCTCAGGATCAAGCGCCGAATGTGAGCCTCCATGCCACTCTCTCTGGCTATGCCTCCTTTCTCCAGGCCCCATGCATAGCTGGCCTCGATTCTCACAAGTGTTTTTTGCCCAGCAGGAATGAGTCACTGAACTCAGATAATGCCTCTTGCTTGTCTAGGTTGAGGTTAGAGAGGTGAGTATAGAAACTTGCCTACTGTGCAAAGGTTTACTATGTACATTGATTGCCTCACTCACTTTTGCCTCTGGCCCCACCCACCACTAACATGGCCCTTGAAAGGTATGTGGCCCTTACTTTGAAAAAGGTTCCCCACCCTTGCCTTGGTTCCTCAGATTCCCATTCCCTGGCATAACTCCTGATTTTCTTGCAATTGCTGCCAAGGGCAGTAAGATTGGCCTTTTTCCCCAACAGCTTTTCCCCATGAAGAACTAGAGATAAGGAAAAGTTGCTGAAAGCCTTGGGAAGCAATATACAATCTAAATGAACACATTGTAAAATTGCTTAATTTTGTTTTTATTCATTTCCTTATATGTCACACTTCCTGAGAATAAAACCGGGGTGGCCCATGCATGGTCTTATCTGCTTCTGTCCTTACAGCAGCCTTGAAATGTGGGTTTGGTGAGGAACTGTACCAGCCAAGGTCAGAGTTTCGCAGGAGAACAGGAATTTGAAACCTGGCTTTTCCATATCACTCTTTAGGTACGTGGGGGGCTGGACAATGGGAAATGCCTCACCGCGAGAAAGCTTTTTTCCAATGCGAAGCGGACATTGGTTTCAATGCTGGTCCGTTTCTTGCGGCGCCGGCCTGGCAGCCCATCAAAGCCCATGTTGGGACTGCTTAGCTGGTTGGGGCTGGGAAGTGTGGAGTCCACAGACATTGTCTCTGAAACATGAGGTGTGGGAGAGCCATTTAGTCACCTTGCAAACATCATCACCCAGTGTACAGCACCCACCTGGTGTGTCACCTCCGTCCTGTGGCTTGATCCAGTTCCGCTGTCTTCATCCTTCCCTCTACTGGGCCTAGTTTCCACTTGCTTGCCTTGAGAAGTGACACCACTCCCTTGACTCTCTGCCATCTCCTTGTGACTTTAAAGATGGTGCCCTCCAGATGTTGTTCAGACTACAACTCCCACAATCCGTGGCCACTGTTCATGCTGGCTGGGGCTAATGGGAATTTAGCAACATCTGGAGGGGGCTACTATGTTGGAGTCCTGCTTTAGAGAGTTCACACTGGATTGGCTTTTAAGCAGCCTGTGTAACAGTAGTTTCTCAGTTCAAAAAACAAAACCTTTGAAGATCTATCTTAGTAGCAGTTAAGGGGCAATTTTAAAGTTGAATGTATATGCTGATTAAGCAAATGAGGAAATACTTTTCCATGCTCTGTCTTACTGGGAAGTAACCTGCAGAACTTTGAGCCCATAAAGTGAATTTTCCTCAAGGCCTGAAGTTAGCATTCTCTCCCTCTGACCTTGGAGGCTTGGGCCAGGCCCCCTGTCCACCCACCAGCTCTCCAAAGGCCTGTTCAGGCCTATCTGACACCTGCATTAAGCCAGACATGTGGGGACCATTCTTAGATAATGAAGTCAGTCGTTTCTATTCCGTTATGCTCTCGCCAGCCCTGACAATGATTTCCCTCACACCTGCTCATTTCCACATATTTCCTCTCCACCAACTCAATCAGGGCTTAGCTTCCTCAGCAGAAAATATCTCAGATCTTGAGCTCCACCTTCCTTCTAATTGCCTGTTCCCACCCACCCTCAAAAGCTCTTTTATTTTTGCCTCTAAGAGGCCTTAACTCCTCCTCCAGCAGACCTCAGCTTCTTCCTGCTCGCTTCCTCCTCTCCACTTACCAGCGTCATTGAGCCATTTCTCCAGTAGAGGTTTGAGTTTGCACATGTTCTTAAAGCTGAGATTGAGTGCCTCAAAGCGCGAGATGGTTGTCTGGCTGAAGTCATTCCCATAAAGCTTCCCCATGGCCAGCCCCACATCACCCTGTGGAGGAGAGAGACAGAGGTGGGGAGAGAAGCTGTTACCGAGAGCATGCAACCTGCCGGGGCATTAAGATCATCAGAGGAGGCCCATCTCTAGCAGAAATACACCATGTATAAACATCAAAGGGTGCCTCAACTGTAGAATACTCCCCTTAGGGAGGTACAGGTGACACCAACATTTTCTTCTCTTCGGTACATGCTTAAAACCCTTTTCATTTGCCCAGGTGTTTATATTATGGAATTTTTAGTTGGTTGGCTGATTTTATTCCTCTTCAGTTTTATTGCATTACTGATAATGGTTTGCATCATACTCTGAATAGACCCACAAGACTAACTAAAGTCCACTGATTTCAGTGGGTCTAATTGCTGAATACAACCCACTGTTTTATAATGTATTTCTAATGTTAAAAATTCTTGAAAATATTACTGGTTTTGTACTGTGGATGCTTATAAACTGCTTAGAGATATTTTTGGCTAAAAGTAGTAAAAAAAAGCCTGTGTATAAAACAAAACAAAACAAAACAAATTAGTATAATATAATATAATATAATATAATATAATAATAAAATACTTAAGGCTGTGCATTCAAACTGGCTTGATCTCTGCCTCACTCCTCAGGCTGATCCCAAAGAGAAGGTTGTGCTTATGCAACCAACATGGGGAATGTACTTTCTAGAGCTGCCTTAGGTATGTTTGGGACACTTCCAGAATGTCACTATTTTCGATTCCATCACATTCAAGCAAGTTCAGGTTGTACAATTAAATGTGATTTGGAGATACATAACCACCTCATCAAAAGATCAACATGATCTAGGCTCCCTGTGAACAATTAAGAATGAATGCTAAATCACTGAATCATAGAATTGTAGAGTTGGAAGGGAATCCCAAGGGTCCTCTAGTCCAACCCCCTACAGTGCAGGAATCTCAACTAAAGCCTCTAATGTCTAACAATGTCTAACCAGCCCACAAACTTTGGGCAAACAAATTGGAATGAATGTTCAATAAACACGTCATCTGGAAGTGACCTTAGTCTCTTTTTTCCAGGGAACATTGCCACCTCAATACCTGATGCTTCTTTCATATGAACCAAACTGGACCCTGCGATCATCATCTGAGGCTCTTCTTTCCTGCACTGCAGGCGGTTGGACTAGATGACCCTTGGGAACCCTTCTAACTATACAATTCTATGATTCTTTGTGTGCCTCCTCCACAATAGCTCCGGAGGGTGACAACAGGAGAACAGGCCTTTTCTGCATTGGCTCCCCGCTTGTGGAATGCTGCCCCCAGAGAGGCTTTCTTGGCACCTTCGTTACATATCTTTAGATGCCAGGCAAAAGCATTCCTCTTCTCCCAGGCCTTCGGCTAATTGAAGGCCTTTTAAACTGAGAGGAGAGTCATTCTTGTTTTTGTCTGTTACTATGTTATGTGTTCTTGTGTTTTTATGTTGTAAACCGTCCTGCGGTCCTTGGATGGAGGACGGTATAGAAATTTAATAAACGGAACAATAATTTCACAGCGAAAATGTCTGTAAACTGAGTATACAGAATTGGCAAAATTAACTTCAATTATAAGATATCAATCAAACCAAAAATTAAGAATGGAGTGGAAGTATTTCGAAGATTATATGTCAAAATATTGTTCTAAAAATGACATGCTAATAGGCTTAGAATAAAAAATGTAAGCAATAACAAAACCAATAAAGAAGGAAAAATCAGAATGTAACAAAAATAATTTATTATAGAATGCAAGGGGAAAAGGTAGAAAGAAATATGAAGAAGTCGAATTGCTGCGGTGGGAAGTAGAGGATGGGTTTTATAATTAAGTGTATAATTAAGTAGCTCTTGTAATTTAGATATTATATTTTATGTGAGGGAATCATTGGGAATTTTGGTTATTATGAATATATGTTAAGTTTCAATAAAGATCTTTGGGGGGGAAGAAAATAATAATAATTATTTCACAGTGAAAATGTTCACAGGGCAACATCTGGCACAGCCCCCTAAGGGAAACCAACAACATCCCACTCTTCCATCGTGGACTAGCCTAAGCCAGACACCTTGGCCTGTACCTGTGTGAAGCCAAGCTTGATACGCCGCTGCTTGAAGGTGCGGGCAAACTGCTCCAGCTCCTCCAAGTCGCTGGGCTCCTCAGGGTGTGAAGGGGTCTCCAGGCATTTGGGCGGCTGTGAGTGAGTGAGGTGGGACTCGGGGAGGCCAGGCCGAGTCACTTGCTGGGGAGCAGAAAGAAGACACAGAAACGCTGAACCAAGTTGCACGAAAGCACCGAATAATGTATGAACAAGACCTCAGTGAAACAGCTTAGGGCTCGTCCACACTTCCACCAGTCCCGTGCCTAGAAATCACGGGGCCAAGTGGTCTTCTGCCTGACCCACTCCTTTCCCAGGGAAACCCTGCACTCTAGCTCCAAACTGGAGCAAATCTGGAGAAAACCCAACTTGTTGTGCGCTTCAGTTGAACTCTAAAGAGTGGTTTTCCCCTCCCTGCCTCCTGGGCCAAGCAGTGGGACAAAAGGACACTGCTTCCCAGGTGGTGTCCATATTACCATATTACTTTTATCCCATTGTTGGCTCTGGTCAGACATTTCTGCAAGTCTTTGAAACAATACCTGGAAAACTGTTTAAGCAGAGGCAAAGGTGAGATGAGTGATCACAATCCTCATAGTCCCAGGGCACAGGATACAGAGCCACCATGCTGAAGCTAAGCAGGTCTAGAGGTCTGATCAGTGCCCGGTTGGAAGACTGACTGGGAAAGGATCCCCCCTCCATCCACACCACGTGAAGTTCCATAACGGAAGGGGTGTAAATGTACTAAACAAATAAACAAATTCCTGATCGCCACTGCCTTCAAGGGTCTGACAAAATGATCATTGCATTGCGTTAACTGTGGTGAAACAGTCTTTTCTTCAAAGCAAGATATACTGGAGTAGACAAGAGTACAGCATTAAAAGATGAAGAATGAGACTGCCAGACCAAGGCTGGTAATATCTCTGCGTTCCCACTGAGTATTTTACGCACTCACCTGTGCTGGGAGTCCTGCACGAGGCTGGTTCGGCAGGAGGCTCCCTGGGTTTTGCTGAGGTAGCTGAAAGAGATTTGGTGTCGGGAGCAGCCCTGTGAGGGAAAAATGTAGTGAACAGCTCAGCTTTGCAAAATCAAGCACCACCTTATTCCACCGTGTGAAAAGTTACTGATCAAACCCGGAATAAAAATCTGCCAATTTGGTGCCATTCTTCAGATCCCTAAAAAACCTCCACTGTTGTTATTTAGGAGAAGTAAAATCCTTCATTGGCTGAAGAGAAAATAAAAATTCACAATGGCAGCTACTGCTGAAAATGTGCAGACAAGAAAAAAGCCTAGCTGGACACTGCAGCATTTAGAAAATGTGGTTTTTCTATTCTTCACAGTTGTTTGTCTTTTCTTGCAGACTGGGGAGGAATTTGAAGGTGAGCCTATTTAATTCACACTTTCTGAAACAAAGTGTAAACTGAAACACAGCCATTTGTTGAAATTCATACTTCTCCAAATTCTGCAACGCAGTTCTCCAGCTAGGTTATTTTGCACTAAGATTCATAAATGAGAGTAAAGGCTGCATATAAAATCATATATTTGTGAAAATAACATAGAAATGTAGTGTTATATTAAGAAAATTGCTCTGCAAAAATAAATTTATTAGGATAAATTCGTACAAAAATGTTGATGGAATTTTCATGAGGACTTTCTTTTTTTTTAATTGCAAACTGGTGTGGAAACTTAAGATTGGAAAAATGGAAAAGTAAGAGGAAGCAAAATTGGAAAATCATCTCACCCCTACCATCCAGCACATGATTCTAATTTGAGAGAATAAAATGCTTTATGCTGAGGCAAAGTGGAACAGATTTCTCCAGTTCCCTAATTTGCCTCTTCATCCCAGAATGGGGGGAACAAATGGGGAATTCTGTGGTGAGGGAAAAGTACTTTGAAAATATTCAGACACATGATTTTATCACCTTCAGGACTGAACATAATTCCTGGTAGACCTGGGCTTGATGAGGGTGGGGTAAGTAGATGTAGGCTGACAGTGAACTCTGGTTTGTTTGTTTTTGTCCAAGGCTTACAGCAGGGATGAGGAATATGCGGTCCTTCAGATGTTGCTCCACCATTCCTGACCAGCGGCCACATTGGCTGTAGTTTGGTAGATCGAAGAGCATCTGGAGGGGGGAGGGCACAGATTCCCCATCCGTGCCTTACAGTGCTTCCACACTAGGTGCTTACTATCCTCACACTTGGTTCACTCACTTTTTATAGGGCATCTACATGACCTCATCAACTCATTGTCTCCCCCCTGTGTCTTCTCTGTGCTTCTTCTTCTGGTTTTCGGCAGACCACAAAAAATCCCAAGTTGTTGTTGTTAACAATAAAAACACTGGTGGAATCTTTACAGATGTAAATCACTGTAGTATTGTTACTCTTCCATTTTCTTTTCCATCTGGTTTTGGCATCTGCTGCCTAAAGCAGCCGAACCTATTGGCATTTCACCTTCACTATTATTATTTTCCAGTCAGCATCATTTCATTACATTGTTGTTGTTTTTGCTTTTAAAAATGTTTTAATTAACACTGAAAATGCTTTTAGAACCATTTTTAAATATTAAAATATTCATGCCACTCCACTATGAAAGAGTATTATAGCGCTGATTTTCAAATGCTGCTGTCTTTTCATCCTGTGCCAATGTTTTATTTTTCAGACTTACCACAATATTTTAGAACGTTTTTCTTATACATCTCAAAAGTTGTTGGGAAAGAGCACTTCACTGAGCCCCCATCAGGGCATAAAGTCAATGGCAATTTCATTTGCAGCTTACAGCGGAAAAACAACGGCTCGTTGCACTAGGAACTGCCTGCCTGCAAATACCCTTTTGCCAGGAGAAGCGGAGTGTGGCCTATGCAGTCTCTTTTTCACACACAAGCCATTCTTACCTTGCTGTCCCTGCTGGGCCTGTGGCAGCAGGAACTGTGCAGGCGGCTGGAGGTGGTGCCCTGGGACGAGGACTAACTGCTGGAGCTGGAGCAGCTGCTGGATGTCCTAGAACAGAGAAGCGAAGGGGAGGAAGAGTGTGGGTATATCTACCATGCAAATTTATGCCAGTTTAATGCTGGGGACGGCAGTCTGGTGAAGGTGTTGAGGATTCTCCTACAGTTGACCAGGGTCTGTTGTGGCGAGTGGCAATGTGTGTTTGCTAGAAAGGCACACACAGAGGAAGTTGAATCTCACAGGGTCTACAGAAAATCCCCCCTGTGAGAGCCACTTCCACTGTGTACAGCCAGGTAAAAGGGGCACAGTCTATATAAGCCGGTCACGTTCCCAGCCTGCTCTTTCTTTGATTCCTGATCGCCAATCTCTCTCTTCTCTTCTCTTCTCTTCGATGCCTCATCAGTTACTAGGGATGAAGGACAAGTGCTGAATCTGAGTCACAGCTCAAACTCCATTTTGATCTACACTACTGTATATGTCTGCAAAAGCCTGCCTCAAGACTGCTATTGTGAAACTGAGCAAGTAAATCTATCTTTACTTATAAGAAGACTGTTTGGCGTGTCTATTGTTTTTAAGGGAGAAAAGGGGGAAATAACAGGAAATCCAGTCTGCAATAAAGCATCCTGGATTACTAAAACTAAAGGTTAAAGCTAACATATCAACAGGTTCCTTATTTTTGGCCGACAAAGGGATGTACCCTGCTGAACTCACGAAGGATAATATCTAACAAACACATCCTCTCCTAGTTTCTATGCACATCCCTACATAAGAGAAGAAATGCCGCAGCGCATTACTGAACATAATGCATAACTGAACGCCTTCACCTGTCCCAGCTGCAACAAAACATGTCTCTCCCGCATCAGTCTCTAGAGCCACAGCAGGCACTGCAACTTTCCAACAGTTTGACCTCGCCCAGAAAGGCGCACCCCTCCATTGTCTCCTGAGACAGATGGATGCCACCCGTGGATCAGGCCACGTCTGCATGAGCAGCCTGTCATATGCTTTGACTTCTGCCCTGTTCTCTGTGTGGTGGTGAGCGTGTAATGCTGGGCAACCCATTCTGGCCAGACCCCCGGCAAGCTGAGCCTCCAGTGCGCAAGCCCTTACCTGTGCAGTGAGCTGGATTGGCTGCGACAGGGCAAGCTGTGGCGTCTGGGGCTGGTTCTGTGGCGCCGTCAGCTCGGCCCCAGGCTGCTGAGAGGAGGCTGCAGCAGCTGCGGCATTGGACTGCTGCACGGCGGCTGCCAGGAGCTGCGCTTGGGCCTGCTGCAGAAGCAGCTGCTGTTGGGCAGGCATCAGGGCTGTAAGCTGGGTTGGTGGAAGGCAGAGAAGAGGTGTACCAAGGGCAGCATAGCAAATGGCAGGCCAGGAGGTGGTGACCAGGCAAAAGGGGAGTAGAGGCGAAAAAGGGAAGGAGGAGAAATCAACCAGGCAGAGAGAAGGAAGAAGCTGGTTAGTTGGGTCCTTCTCCCACCCAGCGCATCAGCAAGAGCCCCAGCAAGCAGAGAGCCAAGCAATATATTCCTCTTGGTTGTCAACTCCTTTCCTGACAGCAGTGCCTGTGCTTATAATTCAACACGATAGGACAATTTCACTAAGCAGATGAGGGCTGTTGTTCTTTCACGTTATGCTCAGGGGCAGGAAATCCTGTGTGTGCTGAATTTCTCCTTAGTCACTGGGAAAGGCACAGGAGGAGGAATGGAGTGGACAAACCTAAGCTTCTCACATTACTGAGAAATGCTGATGAACACACAACGCCATTCTGGGTCCCTTACTGCTTATATGAGGAAGGTATAAGCAGCATTTTGCTAGGGCAATGCAGAATGAGAATTTAGTTTCAATCTAAGCCCCTCCACAAGCCACACCTGCACTGGAGAAATGTCCACTTCCCCAGGCCTCTACCTACCACATTCAGAGGAGAGGAGAGGGGTGAGATTTCAAAATCATCATTTCCTTTTCATCATCCTTCAGTGTCCACCCCAGAGTGCCAGGAAGCCATGCCTCCCCAGCTACCATCTTCCTATCAACCCTCTATTTCCCTTAAACTATTTTGAATCATTAACTGATACCGCAGGCCTTTTAGTACATGATTTCTTTAACTATTTTTTCCAAGTGCACACCTAAATAATAAACACATACAGTGTGCTTGTCAGAAGACACTCTCTCTCTCTAATCTGTATACTTACAAACCTGGACTTGTTACTACATAATCTATGAAACAACTTTATGGAAAGAGAGGAGCTTCCCATCAAATAATAACCATGCTTTTTACATAATGAACGTTGGCTCAATGCTTCTTGAGTTCAGGACTTTCAGTTGTTAGAAAACTGGTCATGGAAACAGCCCTTTGTTTGTATCCACCTCCTTGCCACCCCCTGGGCCACTTAAGCCAAACTCCGTAATCTATGTCTGGTCACAGGACCTTCCACTTACCCCAGCCAGCTGGCTGCCAGCTAACATAAGCTGGGCCTGGGGCAGGTGTGGCTGCTGAGCTGGGGGAGCCGGGACTGGGGCTGGAGCTGGAGGAATTTCTGTTGGGTCTTCAGCTTTGATCTGGAGGGAGAAAACAAGATGAAAGAGAATCACTACGACTCTCTCTCCAGCTGTGTACGACAGACATCCTTCCGTTCCTGTTGCAGCTCAACATTGCTTGTTTGAGACACAAATTTGATGCTGTCCTCCTTCTCCTTCCATGCTTCCTGACCCCCTCTCCTGTGCCCATAATCTCCCCTTCCCTAACATCCGAGCTACCAGCCTGAAAGAAGCGCTTAAGCAGAGCAATGCAATGGGTAGCTCTCACAGGGTAGCGCAAAAGGTTCGGGTTTTAAGGCTACCATTGAATATACGGAGTCCTATCTGTGTCACTGCAGGGAGAGGATGATGGCCCAATGGAACTGAGGAACATTGTCCAGGGCGCTGGGTGATGCTAAGCAACACCAAGGAAAACAAAAAAAATCAGCAACTTGAATACATTATGCTAGGTAAGCAGCCCTACACGTGTTTAATTCACTCTGCTGCTGCAAGCGACTTGCTAAAGGGACAAAGAGCAACACAAGCACTAAAATCCCAACAACTGGAAGTTGATGCTATCTCTCTGACGCATTGCTAGGTTGGCTTCCTGTTTTGCTGCTGGGCCTGAGGCACAGGGAATTCCCCCGCAAAACCAAACTTGATTCATGAGTCTCTACCACACTGATTACAAAAGTACAAAGCTGCCCACGGTTCTGACCCACCCAACCTTCCACTCAGCTATATATTATACCAGAAAAATAAAAAATAGGTTTCTTCAGTTACTCAGAAATCAATCAACTGGGGGGGGGGTATTGAATTACTTCATGATTCCAGTCCTGGGACAAAGTGGGTTTTGCAGGTTTCTGTTGTGCTTCCAAACACAGCAACATTTGTTTAACCAGAAAATATAGAGGGGCTGTAAAAAAACCAGAGTTTTAAAGCTAAGTAGGTACCGGTAGGTCAGTGACCTGATGGGAGGACTAGCCTGAGGGACCTGTAAGTTCATTTCCAAATGAAGACTGGAATAGAAATGTAGTAAATAATACTTCATGGCACTGCAGAAATGATACTTTCCCTTAGAATTCACTCATCTACAGCCACCATAGCTGGTTCTGGGGTAGGGATGGGGAACCTGTGGCCCACAGATGTCTTTGGACTCCAACTCCCATTAGCATGGAATGATGGGAGTTGCAGTACAGCATTTAGAGAACCACAGGAGATCTGGAGGAAACAGTGGTCAGCTAAGACAGATAAACACACTGATAAACAGAGGTGGAGAATGTTTTCTGGCGAGTGGGTTGGATCCTTGTCTCTCCAACCCTGCTGGACAAAATTTGACAGACGGGTGGCAGGTCATGTTACCCTTTGCAGCCCCACTTATTGGGATTTCAAAGCACAGCACAGGCCATTCGGAAATCCTTTTTGTAAAAAGGCATTTAAACAGCCCTCTGGACCACTGGTCTTCAGAGAATCAAGAAGGAGCACTGAGAAGGAGAATGAAATGTAAACTTGACTTCCTGTCCTTTCCAAATTCTTTTCACTCTAATAAACCTATTGCCTAAACTTATCAGTGTATTAATCATGAAAGGCTCCCGCCGCCAGAGCACCTCCCCCCCGAGACTCGTCAGCGCTCCTGGCGGCTAGCCCTGCCCCTGCAGGCGGCTAGCCCCGCCCAGCATATGCCCTGCTTCGGGTGCCGGAGCAGCAAGCTCCGCCACTGCTGATAGCCTTATCCTCTATGAATCTGTCTAATCCCATTTTCAAGCCAGCTAAGTTTGAAGCCATCACATCTTTGGTAGTGAATTGCATGGTTTAAATACATGCTGTGTGAAAAAATGTACTTCCTTTTGTCTGTCCTGAAACTTCCAACATGTAGCTTTATTGGATGGCCCTAGGTCCTAGTATTATGATGGGGGGGGTGAGTTTCTTACCCACTCTCTTCATACCATGCATAATTTTATACACCTCTATCATAATAAATAGGGATACTTCAGGAATTTGTTCTTTCTGAATTCTGATACAAGCTGGCTTGATTTGCACCTCCCAAACCACTGTGAAGATCAGAATGCGGCTACCCTCTTCACGAAGGGCACTGCAAATTGATGCGGTGCTCCCTCTGGTGGCAGCTGCTAGTGAACATAGCTAGGTACCTCAGCCTCCCTTTTCACCCAAATGCTTCCACTGACCCATGTTATTATTATTATTTCACATGTGATATGATAAAGCATTATTGCAGGACACAGAACCAAGGTCCACATTACCTCCATTAGAAACTGCTGGAGTCCACATTCCAGAACATACACACATACAACTATTAACACACCTATTAACTATTAACATATTTTACCTTTATTTTTACCTATTAATATATATATACATTTATTAAAATATATTTATTGATATATTTATTAATATATATACATTTTTTCATACATACACACATCCATTCACAAAACAAGCAAATCTCTCCTCCTTGTGAAGTGGTAGTGTGGCTTGGGTGCTAAAGTTCAGAGGTTCCCCAGTCAGAGGCACTGCAAAATTGGATTCCTATTTCCTGATTAATATTATAACCTGCAACCTGATTTCTTCCCTCTCTGACCTCCATTCTCCTAGACTTGGCTATGGTGGTTGCAGATGAGAGGTGACATTTTTATTCCCCATAGATGGTATCTAGAGGACACTTAACCTTGTTCCCCATATCGGGGAGCACAAAGAAGCATAAAAAAGCAGCCCTGCAAACTGTTGGAAGATGGTCCCTACTGTTATTACAAGCATGTATGGGAAACTGTCTTCCCTTTTGAGTATGGTGAGAACTGGCAGAGAAACATTGTCCCCTGCAGTGGTGCTAGTGGAAGCTGCAAGTGGGTTGGCTAGAGGATGCCACTTACCTTGGTGCCGGTGCTGGTTGGGGATGGGGAGAACGGGGAAGGTTTGCTCTGCTGGGTCTGCAAGGGACAAAGAGAGAAAAAGGAAGTCAGCATGGACAGACTAAGAGCATGCCCCTTGTCTGCCACAACAACATTTGTGCCACTACTTTAAACCTCCAGCTTCTGGCCACCTTTTCTCACCTGGTGGTTTGTGTCAGGTCCATTTCTTTCTGTATCTGAAAGCAAAGGAGATAATTGTCATAAAGCTTCCATTCAAAGCCATCGCTTCAATAATCCCCATTCCTTGAACCCTCCTCCCAAGGCCTACATTCCCAAATAGGAGTCCCATAGGCCACATCAAGCCTGCCATGCCTGTTTCTTCTCCTCCTCTCCCCACAGGTCCTGTGCCTTTCTCTGTCGCTTGCAGGATTTCAGTCATGGCTATGAGGTTCCTTATGGTACTGTACGTGCATGAACACACATGCCCAAGTGTAGGATCACTCTAAAATCAAGATATATATGCAAACCACACTATAATTCTGGCGTTTTGGACAATGCTGGTATAGTTTTAAAGAAAGGGACTTAATTACATTTTTGAAATGAGTTGTTGTTATAATATAAAGGCTAGGTGGTTTTGTATGTAATATCTGCATTCATTTCTACATTACAGTAAATTCTAAAAACACAAGCTTTTTTCTGAATGTTTAATGGATTGTACATGTAGCATGTTTATAGAGGTAGGCAAACCTCTGAGGTCTCCCCACTTTTTGTCTGATATTTGGTGCTTTCCCTTCTTTCTACCAAGGGGTAAGCTGACTCACTAAACAGTTAAGTGGCACGGCCATGTACCAAACATTGGCTGCTTCTTCCCACCCAGCCTTCCTTCTACCATTTATTCTCTGCTTCATTCCGTCTGCTCACCTAAAACAATCGCTTTCAGGACTTCTCACTGCTTCTCTTCTCAGTCCCCAGACACCCCACATGACCATTTTTCATCATGCCTAACTTTGCCCCTCTCCCCCAAATTTGCTTCACTAAGACTCATTTAAAAACTTGCTAGTGCAAATCATATGTTACCTTAGCTGCATACTTATTGCTTAGTCTAATTTATTGGGTCCGAAAAACTTTTTAAAATGCAGAACATTGGGAGGATTTATTTTACAATAACAGTAAGGCGAAGGAGGAGGAGGAGATGATCACCCCAGGGAGTTTACAAAATAAGAAGTGTACATATTACAAAACATGTGTTTCATATATTATATGAAGGCTAGTTCCTAAGCTAGTCGGTTTGTCACATTCCATTAGGACCAAAGAATGGAACTCAGGACAGAGCAATGCAAATGAAAGCTGAGGCATGGTCTCCCTGCAACTGTGGGGTTATGGGACAAAGGAAAATGGCTTTTGGGCACCGTTGTTGGGTGATGGGGGAGCGCAGAAGTCTGTACTGAGGTGAGATCACTCTAGAGATCACTGTGCACATCACAGTAGTCTCCCATCCCTCACCCACTTTTCAAAGCTCATAATGACAGATATTTTGCTAGTTCATAAAAATTATAATGAACGACCAAATCCCCATCCCTTCCCTCCAGGCACTGCTACCTGTGTGCTCCTCTTGCAGCTCCAGCCGCGCCTTCTCCAGCTCCAGGGGCTTAGACATTCTTACTTCTATGAGAGAAAGAAAAGAGGGTGGAAGGAAAATGGGGGTGAGCGCTACATCAGATTGTGATGGTACACCAAGCGGCAGTGGGGGGAACCAGAGCAGAACACCCAGAACCTAAATACTAATCTAAAGTATTTAAATATCAATACAGTAACATTTACATTACATAGAATTTGAAAATATATGCCTAGTTGGATCAGGGATGGGCAATCTGTGGCTCTCCTGCGTTATTGGACGCCATCACTCATCATCCCTGACCATTAAGGCCAGCCCAGGTCGTTTTGCTGCTTGAGGCAAAAGCCCTGGAGCTATCCCCCATCTTCTGCTCCCTCCTGATCTTCATCAGCACTGGGCATCTACTGCCCAGCCCCACATCTATCCCCACCTCTCTACAGCCTACACAGCAGACCACCTGCCAGCCAAGCAAACCAGAGATTCCCCAGGCTGCCTCCAGGCGGTGTAAGAGGAGACGCAACAGTGGGGAGGACACAGTCACAGTGGCAGAGGAACAGGAGGAGGAAGAGGTCACCCAGCAGCAGTGTGTGCCCTGTGGGCAACTGGAGGTGGCATGCAGTGGCTGCACAGTGGCAGTGGTGCCACCCTCTGGAGCTTCCGGCCCTGCTGACCATTGGCCCTGCTGGCTAAGGCTGATGGAAAATGGAGTCTAATAACTTCTGGCAGATTCCCATCTCTGTCTTACTATATCTTGACCAATATAATGGAAAGACATTTCAGTGGCCAACACTGAAAAGCAGTTTACTTTTCGTTGAGCAAGAGGGCAGAACACTGCTTGCATGTTTTTCCTAGTTATCTCCTGCAAGTAAAAACAATAGTTTCTTTCTCTTTTTAATGGAAGCAGAAAATTCAGAGGAGGAACCTGGAATATCCATGAGAAGACCAGGCCCCTAAAGGCGACTTACCCTCCCTTCCAGTGCTCACTGTGGGAGGTGGTCCCCCCATCATTCAGCCTGGACACTGAGGTCCAGCTCCGAGGGTCTTCTGGCAGTTCCCTCCCACAAGAAGTGAAGCTACAGGGAACCAGGCAGAGGGCCTTCTCGGCAGTGGTACCCGCCCTGTGGAACGCCCTCCCATCAGATGTCAAGGAGATAAGGAACTACACAACTTCTAGAAGACATCTGAAGGCAGCCCTGTTTCGGGAAGTTTTTAATGCTTGACATTTTATTATGTTTTTATCTATTGCTGGAAGCTGCTCAGAGTGGTTGGGGAAACACAGCCAGATGGGCAGGGTATTTATTATTGTTGTTGTTGTTATCATCATCATCATTATTGTTATCTCATTTTGCAATCTTACTGCCATCATGTTTTTCATTTAGTTCTATTGTATTTTTTGATTCTCCTAAATAATTTGGCATCACCAACCAACTTGACTCCTTCCCCGCTTTCCCACACCCCTATTTATACATAACTGGGTCCAAATAGAAGGGGTGGCATGGCAGAAGGTGCAAAGATGAGAGCTAAAGGTTGCTTTTTTCTAACATGGATCATGTGCACAAAATAAATAAAAAGAGGCATACTTTTGCTTTCCAACATACGCTACATCCTCTCCTTCCCACCACCTCCCAAGCTACACTACAAAGGAAGAAGATATTGCACTACAAATGCTAGACCCCAGTTTGTGTGACTTTAGCACTACAAAAATCTATTCTATAGAACACTCTTTGGAAAGGCCCAATATGTTTGGGGAGACCCCAGCAGCTCAGATCAGAAAGTGAAACCTTGCAAAAGGAGGGTCTAGGCAACCACTCACCCAGCTTCACGAAGTTGAGAAGCGGGGAATAGAAATAACAAAACGAAACAAAACTTCCACAGATTGTTAAAACCACAAAGTCATCCATTTCAGTTCCTGGCCCCCAAGATCCCCACAAATCAAATTACCTAATCCTGCCCTTAGTGAACGTGCTGCCAGTTGAGGATGCAGCCAAACAAGGCACACACAACACTGCGAGGTACCTGGGAGGGGAAGGTGCGATTTGGTTGCAACTGGGGAGAGTCAGGGGTGGACTTCCCCGCTCTGGGCACTTTTGGTCCCGTGCTAGAACTGCACGTATCTTAGCTTGAAGTGGGGGAAATTTTCTTAATAACAACTAGCCCCAGCTGAGGAACACAACTGTAACCATTTCGGGCACGGCTGGGCCTACATACTATAACTGAAAGTGATCGAAGTCAACTCTCCCTCCACCCCCACCATTCACAATGGAAAGCTTTAGTGAGCAGGTTTTACACTGCTTTTCTCGCTCCAGTCTGGCCTAAAAGCTGCCTCACCCAAAGCAATTTTAAAAAAGGAACGCCCTCCTTGCTTCCAGGGTCCCTTTTGCCCTCTCCTGGCCCTCCAGCTCCTACCTGGACCAGCCCTGCAGTGCAGGACAGGGATGGGGGGGGTAGAGAGTTGCCTTCCTCTTAAGATGTCTTTTCCGTTTCCCACCCCCAAGACTGGAGCCTTATCACCGGCTGTTCCTGTCTGATTTGCATATGCTTAATGAGTCACACTCTAATAAGGAAGCCCTGTTGAGCTAGGCTAGACCTCAGCATGCGATGTGGGGGGCAGTTGACGGGTGGAGAGTCCAAGAAAAAGTGGGGCCGCCCCCTGAGTTGGGTCCTCTCATTAAATGAATAACATCCACCAAATTGTAGCCGAAGTGCATGTGTAACAGCGGTAGCTGCACATTAAGTCCACTACAGGCAACCATTTTGCTACCTTCCGTGTGGCAAAAATTCTCCTGACAAGACGATATACAAACAGTTATACGTTTCCCAAGATGCAGTTTGGTCATCTGTATTGGTGCCCTGCATCATCCTGTCAAAGGCTGAGGAGAATTTTACCACGCTTATTTATTTATTAGATATATTAGTCACCTCATAAAACACATCCTCTAGGCAACGTGCAGCACCATATTCTGCACCTGATCAGAAATCTGGGGGGAGCAGCTGTGGGGATGGTAGAGGAGGGCAAGGATTCCTCTTGCAGCCAGGCAGTGTGGCACAGAGAGTTCGTGCCAATGGGCAAACTACTCTGAGGCGAGCTCTCTCTCACCTGGGTTAGTTTGATCGCCTAACTCCACCAGAAAGGATAATTTTTGCCATGCATGCGTTGGAAAACATGAAATCTGAGGTCCGGCACCGAGGGCCTTCTGGCGGATCCCTTGCTGCAAGAAGCCAAGTTACAGGGAACCAGGCAGAGGGCCTTCTTGGTAGTGGCACCCGTCCTGTGGAACGCCCTCCCACCAAATGTCAAAGAGAAAAATAACTACCAAACTTTTAGAAGACATCTGAAGGCAGCCCTGTTTAGGGAAGCTTTTAATGTTTAATAGGTTATTGTATTTTAGTGTTTTGTTGCAAGATGCCCAGAGTGGCTGGGGAAACCCAGCCAGATGGACGGGGTATAAATAATAAACTACTATATAATCTCACCAGAAGCTGCCACTGCAGTTGCTATGCAACCTTGTGGGAGCGCCGTCCCGCAGTATTCTGCCACCTGAGGCGGTTGCTTCACTCTGCCTCATGACTGGGCTGGCCCTGCGCACTCATGTGTGTAGGGCTGGGGGCTCTGTGGCCCTCCAGATGTTGGCCGCTGAGTCGCACCAGCCTCAGGCATCTGCCACATTCACACCATACGGTTTAAGCACTTTAAGCGGTCACGGCTTCCCCCTAAGAATTCTGGCAAAAGTAGTTTGTTAAGGGTACTGAGAGTTGTTAGGAAATGCTCATTTCCCTCATGGAATGACAGTTCCCAGAATTTCCTGTGAGGAGGAGTAGACTGTTAAACCACTCTGGAAATTGTAGCACTGTGAGGGAACTAACAGACTCCTGTTCCTCTCACAGAGATACCATTCCCAGAGTGGTTCAACAATCAATCCCTGTTCCCAGGGAAATCTGGAGACTGTAGTTCTGTAAGTCCAATAGAGGTCTCCTAACAATTCTTAGCACTATGGTTCCCAGGGTTCTTTGGGGGAAGCCATGATTGTTTAAAGTGGTATGATACGGCTTTAAATGTACAGTGCGGATAGGGTCAAATACACACCAAGATTCCCCAAACTCTGCTTCCTGCTCTGCCTTCCAGCACCCTTCAATTAGCCCCATGCTGAGAGAAATAAGCAAAGCATTCTGGGTAATAAGTGGGACATGCAATAAAATGTTGCAGAGCAGTATGCTCTTGGTTCAGGGTTCCAGCCAGTCATGCCATTTCCCCGGATACTTGATTTCATCCCCACTCCAATGGGCATTCAAAATTCTGCAGCTACTGAGCGTGCTGTTCTGAGGTCTCTCCCCCCAAAAAACTACTTTTGCAAAGCACAAGATGCCTCCAAGCTGGCCAATACCTCCCTTATTATTGCTGTTTTGGCTTCCTAGGGAATGGCACTCTTGAGTTCACTATTAGTAGGTATGATAACAATGTTATTGGTTGCTTCCAGGCAACCTTTTAATGTGCATCTAGGCTGCTTTGTTTGCAGAAAGATTAGACCATGTTGGCTATTTAATAAGTACTCATCATGATTTGGCTGTGGGGAGATCAGATGACGTTTCATCAAGTGAGTGTTATCCAACATATTCCAGTGCACTTTCCTCATTTCTTCCATTTGGAGTAGGTCTGCTTGGGAGGAGTCAGTTTCCGAGAATCGTATGCGCGCAGAACCAACTCCTTCTCCTTGGTTGGTCTACAACAACACTACCCCAATAGGCACATCAGAGGCATTGTCTTCAACCATGAAAACCCCTCTTGAGCCTTCTCGGTCCACTGAAAGGATTTCCCACCTTTCAGGCAGTTGGTCAATGGCACAGTAAGGGAAAGAGACAATGAAGTTCCAGGAGTAATTTGTGAACGCCATGAGATGCTGAAAACCCTTCTTGGTTCAAGGTGGCTGCCTTTCCTGGGTCCATCTTGGTGGCAATGGGGATGCTGCGGTACCATGAAAACAGTGTAGGGACAGTGTGGTGGTAGCTTGCAAGCCTCTTTCTTGAAGGACAAATCCTGAAAGATGGCATACTTGGCTGGGAGTTTGTCCTTGTTTGCTGTGAAAGGGGGCAAGGTGTTTTCAGGGGAAGAAAGTGCAGTGGCTGCAGCCAACACATCCTGTTTTCTTGCAGTACTGCTGATAGAAGTGAAAATGCCATGGACCGCTGCCCCCACGAGATGAACAAGTTGTGCTGAGTGCACCAGGGCACACCCCCCCCTGCATAATGGGAAAGCATGGTGGGGTTGCCAGGTGAAATGTCAGCTCTTCTTGGGGGTCCAGCAACTTCAGGAGTAGCAGGTGCAGTCGCCCGCATGATTGTGCCAGGCACCGTTGCTCTACTGTCAATGGCATCCATGAAGAGTGACTCACTGAGCTCCCATGAACCAATGCCCTACTGATTGGCAATGTCCCAATCCAGGAAATTGCTAGAGGCTCCTGCGTCTATCATGACTCAAGTAGGCACCCCTTTCCCCAAAGGGGTGTGCAAGACAGTAGGCAGGGGGGTGGCTGATTTGTGTGGTGGTGGAGCTTCAGGGGCCTTCTGGGAAGGTCCACACTCCTTCTGTGGTCCAAGCTCCCAGATCTCTACAAGAGTTAGGATTTTGAGTTTTCTAGTACCAGAGTCTTGACAACCACCTTGGCTGAACACACCACGGCACAGTGCCTCACCTTCCCACAACAGAGGCAAGCACACTTCTTTCACCTTCCTGTCTTCTCATCCTCCATCAACCGGGTACATGCTAATCCGATCTGAATTCCTCCCCTGAAATTGATGATGTTTGCACACTACAATGGGAAATGTCTGCCGGAGCGTGGTACTGGAACGCCAGGCAACCTTCAGGTCTACCACCTATTTTCAGGCACAGCTAAATGAGGGCTGATCAGATGCCAGGCAGAGCTGTTTGCCCCAATTCATCAAGGATCTCATCATTTAGCCCCAGCTGGTACTGAACCATATACACCTTGTCAATCCAATTCCAGTCCTGGGCCTACAGTCTAAACGCACTGGTGTAATCACCCACTGATTTTCTCCCATGCCTCTGATTCTGAAGCCAACATGTGGGTGTCTCCTTCTTCTAAGGTTGCTGGAAGGACTTGATCATGGTTGCAATGAAGTTGTCCTAGTTGCTGCCATGCAGTTATTGGTCACCAGTCTTGATGTGAGGTCCGGGCTTGTAGGGGTTGGATCAAACTGTCCTGGTCCTCACTGCAAGCAAATGGGCTGGTTCACACTGGCTTGATCTGACTAGGAGTGTCTGATGTCATGGGGTGAAACAGTCCTCTGCCAACCCTGTCCTGGATCCAGCTCTCCACTCCCTAGACTTCTGGCCTACTCCTCAGGCTCAGGCACATCTCAGGGTCCCATTGTCACATTCCCCATTCCGCTAGGACGCTCCCCAAGGTCATCCATTTCCAACTCCCCAAGCTCCACCCATTCGTCCTCAGAATCCAACCACCACCCTCCATGATATCTCCATGGGATTCATAGCAATCAAGATCTAGAAGGGGGTGATGTAGATGTGAAGCAACATCAGAAGTAAAAGAAGGTTCAAAACAATACTGAGGAATATTCACAATTACCTTGCCTCCTTTTAAAATGACAATGACAAGCAGAAATAAAACAGCTGAAGCTTTTTTTCCTGCTGCATTGATGAAATGATGGGCAAAAGTTCACCTACTCCATTTCTGAGTGTCAAACTGCTGTTAGAGGCAGGAGAGTAACTGCAGGAGGAACAGGTGGCAGCACTGTACACAGAATGATCAGTATAAGTGGAACTCATTGCTGCAAGCAACCTACAGTAAGGCGACCGATAGTGAGAATGATAAAAATCAGCAGTTTCTATAACCTCTGATCAAAGATAAAGGGGAGGCAGTAGGTATGTATGAGTAAGAGGCAAGCAAGTTGGTTTTGAGAAAGAATAATAAGCTAAAGGGTTACGCCCCCCCCCCCGCCCACAAGATACACAAACATGACATCCAAACTCACCTTCTTTGAATGTTGTTAATTCGGTACCAAAAATGGAAGAGCCATATTTTCAGATTAAATGCACCTTCCCATCAATGGGCTCGTTCATTCAATTTACAAATACAAGGAATTAAGATACCATTCTTAAACCCAAAAGGATTAGATTTTGTTGATCAAACCCTATGAGGAATTGGTATGTGCACACACACACCCCAAACTCCTAGCAAGACTTCTGTGACAAACAGAAAATTTAAATGGCAACACGTTTTCTGATGTGGATAGGAAAACCCTTCTGTATTGAATTTCTGCCTGTCAGGGAGTTCCGGGATCAAATATTACAAAGGACTAACAAATACTAAAGATGCAGGAGCCCAGCAAGATGAAAATGTGGCAGCCCTAAAATATTTTGACAGTGGGTAAGAATTATGTCAGTTTCTCTGTTATTTATTTACAATTACTTATTCAGCTTATGAATTACTTCCCATGAAATCATTTCAAAATAATTAACAATAAAAAACATAAACAATTAATAGAAATTCAAATCAGGTATATCTACTATCTAAAAATCTTTGCTTAAAAGGCTTGTGAAAAAAGGAAGGCGCTGAAAAATTAGGTGCCGAAAAGACAAGAGAAATGACACTTGTGTGGCATGTACAAGAAAGTAGTTCTGCAGGGGTCTTTCTCACTGGGGGAGTACAGTCTGAACGCATAACACGAATCCTGGCCCAACTGCACTGGCTGCCAGTTAGTTTCTGGGCCCAATTCAAAATGCTTGTTTGACCTATAAAGTCTTATGTGGCTCAGGACCCCAATACCTCAAGGACTGCCTCTCCCCATATGAACCAACCCAGACCCTGAACTTGTCCTCTGAGGCCATTCATGGGAGGACCAGAGGGCAGCAACAGGAGAACAGGCCCTGTCAGTGGTGGCTCCCTGTTGTGGAATGCTCTCCCTGATGAGGCTTGCCTGGCACCATCATTACATTACATTACATTGTTCCCCAGGCCTTTGGCTTTTAATTTTCTGTAGCTTTGAGTGGGTGGCATAGGAGCCAACTCCTGGGGGTTGTGGGGGCATTGGCCCCCACAATAAAATATTTTAGGGGGACGGGCCTCCACAAAGTTGATGGACATTCCCATTCAAATGGTGTGTGCGCACTGCATCATGTTATCAATTTTGTGGGGTGGGGCTTACCTGGGCCCCCACAATATTTTATTCAAGTTGGCACCCCTGGTGGGTGGGGTGTTTTAATCTAGATTTTTTAAAAAAACAGATCTGCCGTTTAGATTTTTCTTTGTCTTTTTATGCCAGTTTTCATAGATGTGTTTGTTTATATACTGTAGGTTGCTTTGGCTTGCCTTGGTTAAAAAGCGACCAATATATTCAGTAAACAAGAAATATAAAAATAATATATGGATCGCAGGAAAAATGTTTTGTGATCAGCAAACAACAACAACAAAAACTCTGTCCTACTGCAAAGGCTTCTCTTACTGAATTTTTACTTTTCTTGCAAATTCTGTACAGGACCTAGTACACTGCTGACACTCAACCAAACTGAAACAGCAGCACTAAAAGTGGCAATGTGTGCACATGCAAGATGCTTGGGGTGTTATGCATGGCTGTGTGCATCTATGTGCATGAAGTGAGTAATAGGTGTGTGTGAAAACATATTGTTTATGAACAGGATTGTTTGTATCTGAGATATATTTTTACACTATGGCTATCAGGTTACAACCCAGAGATTCTACCTTTTACTTTTTAACCACACAAAAGCAGTGAAAGTGTGTCCAGCTGCATCTCCTGTCCCAGTCAATTCTCTGTTTGCCCTCCATCCTCCTTTCTGATTCTTTCAGCAGCAAGATGTGGGAAGGGTTAGGGTAGGAGGCCCAGAAGCAGCAACTTCTTCTGCTACATGAGTATGGTTTAAAGCAGAAGTAAATTCTCTAAGTTACAATCTGGCAATTCTGTTCTTTACAGTCATCTCAGACTTGTCTGAAGGCAGCTAGTGTCTCCAATACCTGTAGCATTCATAGAATCCTAGAACTGTAATGTTGGAAGGGGCCACAAGGGTCATGTAATCCAACCCCCTGCAATGCAGGAATCCTTTTGCCCAATGTGGGGCTCCAACCTGTGAACCTGAAATTAAGAGGCTCTACCAACGGAGCCATCCCACATTCAGAGATGCTTCAGCACTAGTCGTCAACTGGTGGGGTTGGTACCCACAAGTCAGTTACTGCACCCTCACCTGAAGTTGGTCAGACCACAGGCACCAAAACTATTTTGCTTACTGTCTTTTTTAAAAAGGAAGGGAAACACACAAAGAAACAGACAATTGGAGAAGAAGATAAGGGGAGAGAGGCAGAGAGATGTTGCTTCTAAACAATCTATTTCTTGAGCAATCATCCTGATCCATTTGCAAGGAGGTTAGACTATGCTGACTTTTTATTGAGAATTCATTCTGATTTGTTTGCAGGAGACACTGATTCAAAGACGGATTGGGCGGGGGAGTGGGATCCTATTCAGTTCTTATTTAAAGATGAATTTACATACTTTATGTACTTTCCAAAACAATACACAAACCAAAACACAGCCATTCTTCAAAATTCAGTTCTCTGAGTTAGGCAAAATTGAACAAACAGACATGTGTGTGTATATAATAGGCAAAATTCACACTAAAATGCTGGTGTCCTTTTGTGAGAACTTTTTTCTTCTTAAGTTGCAAGCTCATGTGGAAATGTGGAGAATTGCATTGAAGACTGGAAAAATGAGAAACTCAGAGAAACCCAAATGGGCAGATTTTGTCATCCTTATTGTCAAGAGGATGTCATCATACGGTTTCCACTTTGCTTACCACAGAAAGTCTGCTTCTTTGGGGAAGCAGGTTTGCTGAGCAAGAACTCCAAATTGTGCAACCTGAATGTGTCACTATGCGATGGAATCCCATCTGAAGATGTTGACACTATGGAAGAGCCCAGAAATGGCGAAAAACAAAGGGAGAAGAAAAACGTACAAATGGCAGAACATTGAAGAGTGGGTCTGAAGTTGCACAGCAGCGTGAAAAAGCACGTCCTGAATCTGAAAAGGCCCAAGACTGCTGCTTTAGGGAAGTAAGACGTTTTCAGGGGTCCTGCCCGTGCCTTTAACAGCAGCCAGACATACAAGAATTTCTTCAGAAATCTGTTGGGGAAAGTTTTATCTCCACATCTGGAAGAGCCTCACCAGCTGAATGTCTGAATCTCGAATTACTGCTATAGAGATACAGGAGCAAGGCCTATTTTTTTAAAGTGGCAATTTTACCAGTTGTCACGTCACTCATGAAATAATTTCAGGAGTTTCCTCCTCACTATGGCTCTTAAATTTGCACAAGTTCTCTCTCACGGGAACCCGGCAGCTACAGCTGGACCTGAGAGATGATGCTTCTCCAGCCTCTCCCCTCCTCCACCGCAGTCCTCCAAACTGCCGGCCACCCTTTGCTGGCTTTCACTTCTGCTTCCCTTTCACATTTTTAGATGTTTTAAAAACAGACTCCAATTTACTGAAACCCCAGCTAAAAACAGAAGCCCAGAAAACAGCCTCCGGGCAGCGCTCCTCCTACCCCTAGCAGCCGGTCCTCATTCTCCTGCCTTGGCTCTCTACAGCACCCTCTGCAGGAAAACACTGGGATGGAAACAGCTAGGGTAGCCAGATACAAAGGAAGAAAGAGCTCTGAGCCATTTTAGTCATTTTGCAGGAAAGGGAATCTGTTTTCGTTCCTGCAAAAATAGTACCGTGCAAGCAGCTATGACAGATACAGGGACAGTGTCTTCTTTTGCATGGGACAGCCTGCTGTCTCATTGGATTTCAGGAAGCCTTGCAGGAATTTGGAAGCCTGAGGGGAACAGGGAGAGTAAACTGGTTTGTTTGCTTCAATCTACAGTATTGCAGCAATGATGGGGAAGCAGTGACTCTAGAGATGCCGTTGGACTCAAGCTCTTGTCAGCCCCAGCCAGCTCGTTTAATGGACAGGGTTAAAGGGAACTGTGGCCCAGCAACATCACAAGGGCCACAGGTTCTTCATCAGTACACTGGAGGATAGAAATAAGTTTGGGACTACCCTCGCAGCCAGCTCGGTTTGTATAGTGACCAGAGCTTGTGCTTTTAACAGTACCTCCCTCTGCAGAAATCAGCAAGTGAAACTTTTTGCAGCAAGGAGATAAGCATCACTTGCTAATGGCTGTACATCAAGTTGTTGCTGAAGGCACAGCTACTGTGGTTGCTTGCAAAGTTGGAAATCTTGGCCTGTGCTCTTAGTCAGGTTGCCACCTTTTTCCCAGCAGGGCTCCTGTGACTTTAACAGGTGTGGCGCTTCCCCCCATCCCACCCCAAGCCCACATCTCTATGCAGGGACAAAGACATTCCAGATGGCTTTCTGCCTGGCAGGGAGCTCTTGGGCACAGGAGCCCCACTAGAGAAAAGCTAGAATCCTCCCCTCTGTTTCAAATACATTTCACCCGTAAGTCCCAGTGTGCTTTTGCTGCTTATCCCCAACTCCATGCTCCAGCCCTAACCTCAGGCCTACTGGAGTCTCTTTCCCCTAACCCTATCCTCTCTCTTCACCTTTGCACTGAGCTGCAGAGAAGACAGGGCTGGCGATAGACAATAGTTTTCAAAAAGTGCTGAAAGTGGGGTGTGACAGGGGCAGCATTGTTTGTGGCCCATGCACTCAGTTTGGCATCAGTATATCCTCTGGCACTTACCTGCCGCCCACAGCCCTGAGTTCACCATGGCAACGATGCTTCTGGTGCAGGAGAGAGAGCATTGGAAAGCCCTGCCTGCCGCTGACAGCCGGTACCTCTTCCAGAGAGGGGAAGAGCGGATGGCGGGACAAGGAAGGGCCTCTGAGCTTGGGGCAGAGCCGGGGGAGTCCCGTGGTGCTTCAGAAGCAAGAACAGTGAATGTGGCAGGAAGCAGCTGGGAGGAAGAAGCCATAGCGGTATGTTGGGGGGTGGGAGCAAAGAACACTGCAAGGACTGGCACACAACAAACACATGTGCGTGGGCATGTGTGTTACCTGCCAATTACCCTTGTTGCCCACAGGTGCTGCCCTCCCCTTTGTGCTTGCCATACCCAGGGCTCTGATGCATACACTCCTGGACACCCAACACAGATGTGGTATGAAGGATTCATGCAAAATGCACTCACCACGGCACCACATTCTCTCACATATGCTGTACTACATACCTGGGCATGAGCACAGACAAATTTTCTCTTGAATCTGGAATAATGCCCAGCCCCAGTCCCCCAATGTGGGTGGGACCATTTATAATCTTTTTGGCATGCTAGCTGAAAGATTAAAACAGCAACACAGTTCCTCTCCCCAAAACACACACACAAACTAGATCCTGCAACTCCAGTCCTACATCCCACCTCAAATACTGCTTATAGCCAATAGCTTGTCAAGAGCTTTAGGACCTCCCTTGGATGTACAACACATTTCCCATCGACCTCCAGCTTGCCACTGCCCCTGACACCTCTCAGTGGACTTTAGTTCTCTTGGGTCAGGGACTTGTTCATCCAGACAATCCTTAAAACCTGGCTCCCAGGCCTACTAGGTACTCCTTCTGCAGCTGCTGTCACAATCCCTATCTATTGGTTGGCATGTCCTTAGCAGCGGAAGCATGTGTGCTAATGTGGGACTGGGGAAAAAGGAAACTGAACCCCTTTGGTGGTGGATGGAGAAATGCTGTCCAGGGCTGTGTACGCACAATCCTGTTTGCACTGCATCCTGTGTGCCCTCACCACTGCTTTGGGAAGCAGCGTTCGCACCAAGTTGGTCACAATCCATAGATATTCTGTATCTGCCTTGTCATTTCTTAGGAAAAACTACATTCTTATGCATTCCCCCAACCCCCAACCAGAACCAGCTTCGATCTGATTTTAGGGAGGGGGGGAAGCAGCCTAACTGTGTTTTAAGCCAGTAATGTGTACACAGCCCTAGGCAAGTGCCTCGGGTCCCCAGGTGGTACAGCAGGACTCAGACTGTCTGGATGATAAGACAGAGAAACAGCCCTGAAATGGTAAATGCGATCTCTGAGGGTCTGGACCTAGCAATCCTAATCTCATCCTACCTCTTACAGGAAATCTCATAATGATGGTCTTCTTAACTGAATATCCTCATAGCTCATTGTGGACGACTCAATGTGGAGCTTATTATGTTAAGATGGTGAGGCATCTACTCAACCAGGTTTAGTTATCCCTGAAGAGACAAGAACCACCTTTCTGTCTTTACAATTGGGGTGACTCCAGACTGATGAACCCTGGAAACCCGCCCCAAACATCAGAAATGTGGGGCCTGGCTGTGGTTAACTGGTGATGAGAGAAAACCACTCTGTTTATACTCAGAGGCAGTTTTCTTATTGCATCATATGCTCTAGGGCTGACCTCTGGCATTAGAAACAGATTCTGGGGCTCAGGGTTTATCCACACTTACCTTTCCTCTGCTCTTTCCAGACACGGTCCACACTTTAAAGCTCTGAGTCCGAGCGCCCCTTTTTTTGTCCCAGAGCTTTCCCTGCAAAAGCCTGCTCTTTAGCATTCAATCAGACACAGCGCTTGAAAGCATGGACCTATGCCTGGAATGAGTGGGGCAAAAGGTAAATGTGGATAAGCTCTAAGCCCCATAAAAGCCAAGTAAGTAAGACAACAGATAGCTGCTGCTCGATGCTAGCAATTGGTTCTGCATTTTTGCCAACTCACCACTGGGGGGAAGCAGCATGCCACCAGTTCTCACACTCACCTGTGGCGATGTGGCCTGTTCCAGTCTGAGAGACAGCACGGTCCCACCCAACGGCTCTCCCTTGCACATGATGACCATCACATTCGCTCTCGGCAATGTGACACATGCACGAACACGAACACACACACACACACACACACACACACACAAAAGCATCAGTGCATCCACCAAACACTACTACTCACAGTCTCACACATTTGGACAGCCAGGAGTACCCTGAGTTTTGCTTTTTTCAGAGGGGTAGCTGTGCGAGTCTCTTGCAGCAAAAGCAATGAAGAGTCTTGCGGCTCCTTAAAGACTAGTACATTTATTATGACCGAACCCACAGCCCACTTCATCAGATGTATGAAATAATTATCTGGAGCTGCAGGTAAAGATATACATGGCTTGGGATGGGGTGAGGGGGGGAGTTGTTAAAAGTGAGAAGGAAGGAAAGAAAAAACAGAGAAATACAGACAGTGATAATTATGGATTTATCATTGGTTAGAGGTTTTCGTAATGCAAGTAGTCTGACCTGAGATCATTTATTTACTATATGCAAGATAAGAACGCAAGAAGAGCCTGCTGGATCAGGCCAATGACCCATCTAGTCCAGTATCCTGTTCTCACAGTGGTCAACCAGATGCGATCAGATGCTTCTGGGATGATTGCAAGCAGGACCTGAGCACAAGAGAGCACTCTCACTTCCAGCAACTGGTATTCAGAAGCATTACTGCCACTGACAATGGAGAAAGAGCGCAGCCATCATGGCTAGTAGCCATTGATAGTTTTATTCTCCATGAACCCCTTATATGCAATGTCTACGTGGGAGCAAGCCATTTGTATTCACAGCTCAGATCAGCAGCTAGTTCTGCCAGAGAGCCACTCTGGAGTTAGGGTTGAAGCGCAAAGGCCCCAATTCATGCTCACCAGCTGCCAAGTCTCATTGCCACATGTTCTGCTTATCCACATCCCACTTTTGCCTTCAGGATTGGCAACTGAGAGGCCAGACTTTGCCCAGGGGCAAAGCCCCTAAAATACACAAGAAAGCAATTGTGCGCACACACATCCAGGAACACCGCGTGACACATGGCCACCCAGACACACCTACAATCTATGCCCCTAACAAGCCCATGAATAACAATTTTCCAAGACAGAAAATTGCTTACATCCCATCTTGTACACCTTTGCTCTAACCCATTTCAAGTAAAACTTGCGCCGTCCAGAAAATCACACACATGCCTCTACTAATTTAGGCTTAGACTAACTGGGTGTATGGGAGTTAAAAGCACATATCCACAGCTGCTTATGTAAGTTTAGAGAGCCCAGGGGCTGGAATAAGAGGGTTATGAGCCCCAGAGTAACAGAAACTTCACACACACCACACATAGTACCAGAACTAACAGAGCAGCCTTCTCCAACCTAGTGCCCTCCAGATGTTTTAGACTCCAGCCTGGTGTCTTCACTTTGAAAGTCTCAACATTGCAAAGAAGCGAAAGAACTCTGTTTGAGTCCTTGGAGAGACACCATCAGTCAAAGTAGGCAATAACTGGACTAGAAGAACTCTTTATATAAAGACAGCTCTATATACATGTTCACTTAAAAGGGCCCAGCAGCTTGTGAACAAAAGCAGGAAAGCATGGATTAAAACAAGTTATTCGTTGAGAGGCCTTAAGCCAGTGATCCAATGTCAGTCCCTGTAAAATGGGAACAGTATGTATGTAAAATACATACAACAGTATGTATGTAAAATGGGAACAGTGCCCTGCCTCACAGAGTCATTGCAAACAACAACGAAAAACTGTGAAAACAGTTTTGCAACTTTGAAAGTACTGTACAGCTCTTGCCCTGCAAAATAGGAACACTGTAGTTGTGATTTTGAGAGAGGGGATCTATCACTAAAACTAAACTAAATTTCAGCAGCCCAATCCTAAACACGCTTACTTGGAATTATGTCCGATTGAATTTAATGGGAGTTATTGCTTGGTTAGGAGGCTTGGGACTGCAGTCTAAGCAACCAAGGCTGTTTGACTCTACTGTGACAAAAGAACAATGGACCGGTATTTAATTCTTGGAGTAGGAGTTCCCAAATTAGACTGGCAGCAAAAAGTCCTCATGCTCCATTCTCACTGCATCCTTCACTGTGAGTTAGGTCAGCAGCAGTTGCTAGACAGTGGGATGCCGATGCATTGATGCAGGGTACAAGAAGAAGGCTGACGTTTGCCCTCAAACTAGGGTATCAAAGTTGTGAGATGTGAACCAGTTTGGGAATGTGATCGCAGGCAGGCTTTCCTTTGACTTAAGGTTTAGCTCAGAGGGCCTCTGAACATGTACAGAGCAACCTCACCACATCTCTGGGATTAGATCCTCAGACTTTCAGGTCAGAAGAGATGCCCGCTCCCAGGCCACCTTGAGTATTAGGACCTCTTTCTGCTGGAGTGGAGAGCTACAGGTTGCAACTGTGACACACCAGCCAAGCTGTTCAGGGGGGCAAAGAGATTCATTAAGGAGCCAGCCATGCTCCCTACCCCCCCCGGCTCACAACCCATGCCGTCTATGAGGAACCTGTGGCTGGAATAGCAATAGGCCTGCGGGTCAGCATTGAGGGGCAAGAGCAGAGTCGCCCTGCCCGGTCCCTGTCTCCCTGTCCCCGCGGCTGGCTGAGGCGGGCGGTAATGAGAGGAGACGGCCGGTGTCGCGGGCGCTCCCCCGGGGCTGTGGTTATTGTATGTGACGCGCCGGCTCCATCGCGCTGCTCATATTTCTCCCCCGATCAATACTTTTGACTCCCTACAAGACAATAATCGCTTGTCCGCGGCCGCCAGTCGATCAAATACATTATTAGAGTGCGCTCCCGGGGGAGCAGGGCGGGGGAGGGGAGCAGCAGGCGGGGGGAAAGTACAGGGAATGGGGCAGGTTTTGGGGGGGTGAGGTGGCAGAAGGCACAACAAGTTATGGGGTGGAGTGCAGGGAGAGAAGGAGGGGGTCTGTGGCTCACTATCTCTCCCCTTGCCTGTATAGGCGGCTGGCAATTTCCACACCAATATTTGCAGGTGCACTCCTCTAAAGAAGCCTGGGTCCATGGCACAGGGGTATTCAAACCTCTGCTGTAGATTGTTATCTATATTATTTTGCTGGTTGTGTCGAAACTTCTAGCTTTCCTGAGATTTTCCCCCAGGCGTTTCGCCTGAGGAGAAACCCCGGAATTTCCAAGCTCCAAATTTCACTTTGAGTGAAATGTGGTGGCAAAAGATCACCGTGAAACGTTGTTCGTCTCATCAGTGCCCTTCTGAGTTCCCTTGGGTGTTTCGCCTCTGGAGGAACACAACGCATGTTTGCCTCGAATTTTGCTTCAGGTGAAATTTCAGTGGCAACCCTAGCCCTAGGTCTAGGCCTGAGGCCTTCTTGGCTGCTGTGTCCTACAGAGAGGTCTTTCCCTTCCTTAAGCGCCTTCTCTTGGGACACAGCTTCATGTTTCTTAGACCAGAGGGTGTTGACAAGAGGACATTAACGCAAGCGAGCGGCCCTGCTTGTCCCCAGTCTGTTCACAGTATCCGCATTAACATCTTTGCTCAATTGGCAGGTTTGTTTTTTGACAGACCGCAAGGCAGGGGCAAGAAATTGCCTGTGAGCATGTGCAGAGTGTGTGTCTTATAAGGCCAAGTACACACAAACCATGGCTTCACGTTGAAGATAAAGGCAAAGAAGGGGTAAACGATATTGTTGGACTCTGACTCCAATCAGCCCCAGCCAACATGGCCCAGTCAGGGATGATGGAAGTTGCTGGAATACAACAACATCAAGAGTGCCACAGAATCTGCATTCTTTGATTAAGGCTAAGGTAACCAGATGCGAAGTAGGAAAGAGAGCTCGTGTACCTTTGAGACAGGGCTAGGGAACCACTTCTGGGTCAAATTGTGCCTGAAACCATTAGCCACGTTTGACAGATGGGTGGGGCTGATCCATGGTGCATGGGCAAATCACCCAACCCCAGCTGAAGTAGTGTGGCTTGCATCAGGCACCAAATTTAACTGGCACACACTGGCAAAGGAATAATCAGGAGCCTTACTGCATCCTCCCAATTATCCCTTTGTGAGTGTGGTTCACATCTGGCACTCTTTGAAAAGGGGAGCTGGTGGGACTTCTGCACCTTTAAAGAGTTGATCAGAAGGGAGGGGAAATATTTAGAACTTACCCTCAGAGAGCTTCAGCACTAAAACATTCCATGGACAAATTTGAAGAGTTATTGTCACAAGCGCTGTACACAACATTTAGGCCCATTGCTTGCTATAGGCCAAAACCTGCAACCTGGGGGTGTCCAGGTGAAGGAGGCAGTGGATTTCTACAAGTGGTGGAAATGGCAAGTTCAAAGTTACTGTAAAAGGACCACAAAAACTGGAAGAACACGTGGTGCAGAAGGACCAGGGTGTGACTTGAGTCCTGCCCCACTGTGCCACACAGGTACATGGTCTCCATCCCTTTGGAAAGGCAGTGCGTCCACCACAGCCCAGTTAAGGTAAAACTGAAACAGAATTCACAAGGGCAGGTAATGCTCTACTACGGCCCCTTTGCAGAGGCTGCTGGAACAACTCTGAGAGGATTTGCTGGCTTTTTGGGCTGAGGTATAAAAAGGGGTGTTGGCATTGCAAAGTGTGTTGATGTTAAATTTGGATGTGAAGTCACTGGTATTCTTTCCTTGAGCTGTATGCTCCCTTAAATGTTGATGTAGAAATTACTGGGTTGTTGTTGTTTTTAGCATTGTAGCTAAATTATACTTTTCATTATGTTATTGTATTGCTTATTTAGACTTTGCTTTTATGTTAACTGTTTTTTAATGTTTTTACACGAAGCACTTTCAGCATTGATGTAGTTGTGGAAAATGTGGTGTGTAAATAACCTGACTATGACTTCTTTTGGCAAATGAACTTTCCCCCACCCCCTGCATGACAACCTGCTCCTTGGTTAAATATAGAGAAGTCCAATCCTTCACTGCATTCAGGCCCCTTAGCACTAGAAAGGCAGAATTCAGATGCACTTTCCAAGGCAGTGTGCAATATAAAAGGCAAAGGAAGCCAATGTGTACTTTAATATTTGTGCAGAACAGGGACTTTTCACAGGGCATGCAAGGAGTCACCCTAGTTCAAAAATGAGAGGCTTGAGTTCTGGCATTCCCTGATGGATCTTCCCAGTCTTGGAGTTTGGCCTCTGGGCTTGAGAAGGAGCCATTTAGGGCAAGGGTGCAGATGTTGCTGAACTAAAACTCCCATCAGCCCCCATCAGCATGGCCAAGGGACAGGGTTGATGAGAGTTGCTAGGGATTCATTCTAGGGCCTTTTGAGTCACAGTCCCTCCCTCAATGCATTCATACAACCACTTGATATAAGGCAGGTATCACTTTTAATCCTGAGGTAACCTTTATTTCTTCAGACCTTTTCACATGACGCCTTCACAAACTAGGTGGTTGTCATTCATCACACACCTGCATGGCCGTGTGAATGCATTGGCAGATACAAAAAACGGATTCTAGCCAATGTTATGTTCTTGATGAGGTGTGGGTTTCACCCTCGGCATTTCCCAAATTCAGCAATATGGCTGTGTGCTACTTCAATGAGCAGTATAGGTTAGGACGGCCATTCTGGATTATAACATACCTAAATCACACTGTTTAATGTGACCCTTTCTGGATTATTTTTCAATGTGAAATCAATCCAGATCTCATTTTTGGACCATGGTCACCAAATTTCAACAGGTGTCTGAATTACAATCCAACATATCCTAGCCTTGCCAACTTTGAGCAACATTGTGTGGTTCATGTTAGGGTTTCACTGTGTAAAACCAAACCAGAAATGGCTGTGTGAACTAGCTATAAACCTTGAAGCACTGTAGGCAGGAACGTATGTGCCCCCCTGTTCTGCAGCCACATAGGACATCTGCAGAAATTGTGGGCACAGATTTTGGCATTCAGATAATCTTAACATTCATCTGTTTTAAAAAATGCAACTTTCTGGACCGTTTTGCTGCAAAGACAGAATTGAAAGTACTTGAAATCTCAGAAGCTCCGAAGCTCTATAGATAGCATAGAAGGGAATGCTTTCAGGTTGTGAGGCATACATGAAAAAGACTTGGTTACAGAATAACAGAACTGTAAAGTTGAAAGGGACCCCAAGGGTCATCTAGTCCAACCCCCTGCAATGCACTATATGTGAGCGAAACTGGAAGGATAACTCTATTCCACCTTGCTTGTGCGTTTATAGCTCTCTGCATTTACACTCCTCTTCTGGCTGTCCACATTTCTGTCCTCATCTTTTTTCATACTCATTTGCTTCTTCACATACACACAGAGTCCTTGTTGTCAGTACATTTTTACTATTTGCACTTTCACACTTGTCTCTCCTTTTGCAACAGCAAACACTGTTTGTTCTCCTTAAATTCTGCCTTAAACACACATGTGTCATACATGCCTTATGTCAAATAAACCTTCCTCAACACACTAGTGCTAGTTTCCAGCTTCCCAAAGCACTCAGATCTTCACCAGCTCCAGCCTCCCTACACATGCAGAACCATGTGTGCAGAGAAATCAGCAGCCGTGGGGATGGTCTTTAAAAATGTGTGTAGCTGGGACAGAAGGGAATGTTTTGATTTTGCTATCATCTTTTCTTTCCGTTTGCTCTACTCCGAGTGCGCTCCCACTGCTGGTTTGGGAAATGGTTGTACACACAACATTAGCCAAAATCCATATCTCTCCTGTCGTTTCTTATGAAATACTGCGTTTTGATGTGTTTTCCCCCCAAAGCAGCTTCAATCTGAATAGAGAAAAAGAACCACTTAGCGGAATTTTTAACTGGTAATGTGTACACAGCCTGGGATAGCTCTTTCCTATGTGGTCTTATTTGGTTGTTGTTTTCCTTTTAAAATACTCCTCCTCTTGCTTTTTTCGTCCTTTGATATCTCTTTTGTTTTTATAAATCTTAAAAAATAAATAAGGGAGAAAGCAAAGGGGGCATCAAATCACCACATTTGTATGAATGCCTTTTTAAAAAGAATATTCTTGTCTCCCTCCCATCTGTGCCTTGCCAACAATTACACCAGAAGCATTTGGACCATTTTTAATTTCTGTGTGGCACTTCATTTATTTTATGCACTATAAATAACCATCACTGATTGCAAGGAAACGAACTCTGTGAGCATATTTGCAACTGTAGTTGTGGGATGCGTGTGGAGGGGTAATTTTAAAAAGGGCTTGTCCACACAGGACCAAAATGTGGATTTGCACCTGCCTCTCTCCCCATTAATGTTGGGGCATCCACATGACATCCTTCCCATCCCAGTGCTGTCCTGGACATTTCCCTTTTAAATTGTTGGGTCCCCCCATTCTTCAAAATTCCGAAAAGCCCAGAACTGAAAGACCCTGCACTTAAAGGAGGAAAGGTCCGGGACAACAAGACAGGATCCACATTTTCCTTCAGTGTGGATAATCCCCTGGTCTAATCAGAGCCAAAGCTCAGCACTCTTGTTTCAATGCCTAGGCTCAGTAATGTAGCTTGATTCTGATCGTGTGCAAAGTGCCTGTTCTAGCACCACTAAAAAAGCCCGAAGCTCCCTCTAAATATCTGAATTTAGAGGGCAGGGATTCAAGAAATCAGACACACCAAACAAATCCCATGCCCATGGTAACAACATGCCAAAGGCCCAGGTAGTCCACAGTGGGTCAGGGAGAAATCATGGACTCAGGGCAGGAAGCAAAGTCCATGCAGCAGAATCCTGTGCAAACCCTCCTGCCCCGTAATCCTGCTTTCTTCCTTTCATTGCTTCACATGCTTTCAGTTATGTGCCAATGCTGTGCCCTCGTCTAAACAAGTCCTTCATGGCTTAGTTGGTTAGAGCATGGTGCCGATAATGCCAAGGTTGCAGATTTGATCCCCATATGGGATAGCTGCATATTTCTGCATTGCAGGGGGTTGGATTAGATGATCCTCAGGGTCCCTTCCAACTCTACCATTTTAAATGCTCAGTATCTAACATCACTTTTTTCAAAAGGGGGAAAGGATCCTCCTTACTCATTCAGGCAAACATTTGTGCTGATACATTTGTAATGGCAGCTTGGGGTGCTTACTTTTGATTAGCTCTGCTAGCAGATTTCAAAATGCAGGAAACTCCCTTATGAAGATGTGCTACAAAGATGATGAAACTTTATTTAGATGCAGGCAGAAATGGGCCATGAAAGACAATTTAAACTGAATGTTTGTGCGAGCGTGTGTAGGAAAGGGGGGGGGGACACAAGCCTTTTCAGCTTGTGAAGTTCATTTTGATTATTTATACTTTCTCCTGCAATTAAAAAGTATCATCAAGCTGAACTGAAGCGCCTGTGAAATAGAGAGACATACACACAGAGAGACAATGTTTGCCAGTTAGTATTCAAGTGTAAAAGTGTGTTTTGAGCAGATTTATGGGGAGAAAAACTAGGGTGAAAAAGCCCAGAAATAAAATTATAAGGCACAAGCATGTGAGATGAAGCATTGATTCATGTTCAGGATGACGTGTACACAAACGAGTAGGTGCACATGATGATGGAGTTAAACATGAAAGAATATAGGATAATGAATAGGGAGTGTGGCTTAATAAATATGCCTTCCTGTGAAAGTAGAAGCACGCATCAGAACTGATTCACGCAACTGCTTTATTGCTCATTTGCGATGTGGGAAGCCAAAGCGAGCTCCCTTTGCTACATGATGGAGCGTGCTTATGGGATTATTTCAACACCCATTTCAACAACTCAGTCTCTGGATCACTTGGAACTTTTCTGAGGATGAAGGAGAGGTGATCTGGAGATGGGGTTGGAATAATCACACAATCCTCTCGTCCTGCTGAGAAGTCAGATGGGTTTCTAATCACAAATTAGCCAAAAATGGTTGCATCGGCCCACGTTATGTATCCGGGATTGTGAGAGAGTAGCTACCACAGAACACCTCCTCTGTATGTGCATGGTGTACAACTGCACTTGAGTATTTCCCTTCACCTTCCACTCATATCTCCAGATTTCTCCTTATGAAATGTTTCAGAAACTGTTCTAAGTGCCCACAAAGCTTCTGTTCCCTTCTGTCACCCCCAGTCTGGGACACAAGTCGTGATCCAGCACCTGAATCCCAATACATGGTCCAGCATGATAAACCATCAGTTAAACTATATATAATTCTCACTCGGTCTGCGATCAGGACAGAACAACGCCTGGCAATACATGGTGGGGGGAGGTGGTACATATACTGGGACTTTTCCTCAATTTTGATATGGGTTTAGTACATTGGGAATTATTCCCAGACTCCAAACCCATGCTCACGCCACCCCCAATATCACTGAGAATCACATTTAACCCATAAGCGTACATCGAAAGGGTGAAAAAGAAATCCTGTCCTCTTTGCCTCTCTTTAACGGTCCTGGCTGCGAGTAAGGAGGGATAGCTAATCTGTGTTAAGGGGTAACTAATCCATGTTAAGGGATCTGGAGTATGCCCCCTAAGATAAGGGAAATTTGAGAAACGGGTATGTACGGGGGGGGGGGAGCTTCCGATGAACAATGGTCCCCTTCAACAAACTACAAAGAAAAGAAAGGGTGGGGGACAGGGGGCAGAAAGGGAGAGGAATAGGGGACACTGGAATTTGCAGTGAGATATTATTTTGGAGGGATAAAACTGAAGCAGGGATGATAAATAGGATTAATATGATGGGGTGTGGGGAACCAGCCCCCAAGCTGCAGCATCCCTTCCCATCCCCCAGCGGCTGCGCTTTGTTGGGGGGGGGGGCATCCGTCAGCCCAAGCGCCTGACAATGAAAATGGTTTCGAGCCACGGCTGCCGATCGATACTGTGCAGGGGGAGAGAGGGGGGCTGGAGCTACGGCAGGGCCAGGCCTCTCGCTCACTCGCTGGCTCTCTCGCCCTCCCCCCCACCTTTTCCACCCGACGATTTCTCCCTTCTCCTCGCTTCAGACGCATTTCATTTTCTTTCCTATTCCATTCCCTGGTTTCTGCGTTGCAGCAGACTGGGGGGTGGTGGAATGGTAGGGGGGGCAGGTGACATCCCCACCCTGTCTAGTCTCTCTCTCTTTCTCCTCTCCCTCTCTCTGTGTCACGATTTCGCAGTTCTCAGCATGCCTTGGCAAAGCTATAATAGTAATAATAATTTTTTTCAACAACAAAAAAGCAATAACAGCAGCAAAACCTGGGGGAACAGCTGGACTTATTTCCTTCTCTCCCCCCCCCCCACCCTACACCATTAAACTAAAACCTGGACCAAGAACCAAGAAGTGACCAAAATCCCTTCTCTCTGGCCTCCAGAAGCCACTTACAAAGAGGCAGGTACCTCCACCGCCATCCTCAATGGTGCAGGTGGGAGGAAGACTCCCTGCCAAGGTCACACAAATACAATGGCTGAGCTGGAAGCAGCGGCACAAGTCCTAATTCCCACCCCTCTCTCTAGCCCCACACTGTGCCACAAACCCATGGGTTTAGCTAGTCCACTGAAGACCCCATTCGCTCTCCTAGAGCTGGGAACAGCCCCCAAAGGTCAAGAGCTGAATCCCTCTCTCGGACGGGGACTAGGCCAAGTTCTGCTTCCTTAGCAAACCCACCCAGCTTAGCACAGTGTTCTCCACAAGTCGTATTTGCCCAGGAGTCTGATGCTGTCTCTTCTCCCCTAAACCCCCTTTTCCATCTTCCTACGTATCTGATCTTGAGCACTTTTATCTCCTTCTCCATCTCCCATTCCCCTAATGCCTAGTGCTACATGTATTCCTTTGCCTTCAACTACACACCTCCTCTCTCTATATAAACCCACTTCTTTCTTTCTTTCTTTCTTTCTTTCTTTCTTTCTTTCTTTCTTCCTTCCTTCCTTCCTTCCTTCCTTCCTTCCTTCCTTCCCTCCCTCCCTCCACATTCCACCTTCTGCCTCCCTTTGTCTTCAAAGCATTTCCCTAAGTCCATGTCTTTCCACTTGAGTCTTCCCTATACCCCGTCCTCACAAGACATCAGCCAGCCCTCAAACTCACCTCCTGCCCTTCCCAACAAGTGTGGATGTGTATACACATTACATGCTTGAAAGGCCGCTCTTTGTCTCAATTCGGATCAAAGCCGGTTTGGGAGGAAACGCATCAAAATGCAGTCTTTCATGAGAATCGGCAGGATAAATATGGATTGTGGCTAACATTGTGCATATACCACTTCCCAAACCAGCGGGGGAGCGGGGGGGGGGGCACTGGATGAAGAGTAAATGGGAGGGTGTGCACAGACTGTATTGGTGCACACAGCATTCCCATCCTCATCAACAGCCTTGTGAGACCGCTTAAGTTCAAAGAGAGGGCTTGTCCACACCGCAACGAAATGTGAATTTGTGACTGTCTCCCCATTAATGCAAGGGCGCAGTCACACAACCTTCTCCCCATGCCAGTGTTTCTCACACCTTTCCCTTTTAAATGCTGGGTGTTCTTTTGCAATCCTTAGAAAGTCTAAAATACCCAAGAACAACAAAAAAAAAACCTTGAATTTAAATGGGTGGGGGAAGGTCCTGCACAACATTAGGGTGGGGAGGACATAATGTTGGACACCCGCCAACATTAATAAGGAGACAGGTAGATGCAAATGCACATTCCACTCTTGTATAGTATGGACAAGCCCATAGACTCTTGCCCCCTTCCAATGAGTTTTGTGGCCGAGTAGGCATTTGAACTTGGGTTTCCCACATCCAAATCCACTACACCACATTGGTTTACTCTACAGTAGGTTGAAAGCTCTGTACTGTGCAGCAAAAGTGAGCAGAAGATAAATTGGGATCTACTGACAGGCTTTTCGCAGTAGATCAGCAAGTGTTTCTGGCTCCCAGTTATTTATCAAGAGCAACAACAAAATGAGCCCCCCTTCCCACAGTTGAACTGCTGAAATGAACAAAGCTTGGGGTCACTAGGAACAGATTTTTGTGTGGAAGGACTGTGAGTTCAGCTCAGTTCTGGAACTCAAAACAAATCCATTAGCTCAGCCGTTGTTCAGAGGCACCATGTTCTTTAATTCTACATCTTCTGCATCTGGTTGCAAAAGGTGGGTTTGCAGCTGCTAGTAAAATGCAAAGTAGATCCCATACTGTAGGTCTAAGGCCTGCCCTTCCTTGTTGTCCAGCACCCAGGACATACTGCAGCAGAATTAATATTAATGTCAGCTGCCCACCTTCTGCTTTTGCCCACCCACCCTGGGCCTCAAACCTCTCCCCGAAAGAATTTTGCAATCGCAATGGCAGGCTGTTCACAACACTGGAGCCAGAAGGCAGAATGTGTCGTTTGGGGGAAAGGTGGCTTCCTCTCTGTTGCCTATTGTGGGTTCAGGTGTTACCCCTAAAACAGGCTCACAACAACATGATCTCAAGCAAGCACCTCTTCTCTCAATTTCGTTTCCCAGCTGTAAAATGGGAAGAGCGGCAACCCATCCCGCATGGTTGTTGATGTGCAGATCACAAAGGCTGCAAAGTACTTTACAAATTGTATCACAGCCACCAGCCACTTCCTTCTTTTCAGCCCGGGACAAAACACAGCAGAAAAGGAAAGATGGAGACACAGGAACCACGGGAAACCGAGGCGGGTCCAGTAGCGCCATCAGAGGCAGACGCGCCCAGGAGTACCTACAGATGCAGCAGAGTCTGCTTGCCACATATCAATGTAAGTGAAGCATTACCAGCTTAAGAACTCCCCCCCCCCCCATTACAGAAGAAGACCATGAAGTCCAAAGTCTAAAAATCCAAGCTATAGCTCAGTGGCATCTACTTGGCCTACAGACGGTCCCAGGCTCAATCTCTGGTGTCTCCAGATAGGGCTGAGATTGCCCCCTGCTTGAAACCCTGGAGAGCCGCTGCCAGTCAGTGTGGACAATACTGAAGTCAGTGGACCAATGAGACCCATGGGACACCCATGGATTAGCATGGGGCCCGCAACCCATTGGGGCGTTCTCCAGCACAGCCTCATTTAAAGGAACAGGAGCTGTGTAAGAAGACTACTCACATTTTATTTCAGTTGGACCTAGGTGAGATAGCTTGCCAGAAGATTTCCCTGTCACTCTGCCACCTTAGGTGACTTCCCACATCTACCACCTAAGACAGCCACTTAATAGGGTTGTCCTCCCCTGAAGCCTGTGCCCGTTCCCCAAATTCTCCCCATGACCAGTCTCATCTGTAGGCACTCGTCACACAATGCACTCAAGAGAAGACGCACCCTTGCACTGAAATGCATCAGTGCCCTGTTTTGCAAAGGACACCGAGACCTGGAGGGTGGATGGCCATGCCAGCCAACACATAAGTGCTTCTGCCAGTGGAGCATGTGCACCAAATTCCCTGTGTACATGTGATAGTAAGGTTTCTCTGTGCCAAGACAAGGACCTGCAAGGCGCTGGCCCTTGCTGGCTTTCGGCGACTGGGCCTCATGCTCCACCTCCTCCACACAATTTGCCCGATTGCCAGACCTGTCCGTCAGGCCCGCGTCGGCCGCTAGGAGCCATGCTGCGAGGTGGGGACGCTGCGCCCTCAGGGGGTCGAGAGTAGGGTCGGGGGGGTCAAGGCAAAGCCCCCTCCTACAACAAAGGGGGTAGTCCTATCTCTCCCCCCACCCCCCGTACCAGAATAGGGAGATTTCCAATGTCTCTGTCTTGGGGTGGAAGGGAGGAAACACCACACCTGCTCTAACCACTAGGAGAACAACCCTCCACACAGAACACCATATAAAGTGAACTCTAACTCATGTCAGACAGAACCTGGATATAACTCAGACCTTATATATGTGTGAGGAACAGATGAGCAGGAAACAAACTTTCTGTCCTTGACTAGGGGGGAAGGCACACAACTCTCTGGGCTTATGGTTGCCATCTCCTCCTCGCCCCTTTTCCTGGGTCTGCTCCCATGCCACTAAAAGCAGGCTGACACACAACACCTGCAGCTCTACCTAACACTCATCTCTATACCAGATGAAGCTTCGCCTGCTATATTTCAATGTATCAGGTTGCCATGAAATACACAGGAGTAGCAACCAGAAGAAAAGGTGGCAACCCTGCTCAGATCCACTTCACTTCCCATCCCAATGAACCAGCAGTTTCCTTTTGACTTTGGGCTGCGAGCAAAGCCCACCTCCCTAAACCTGCTAGTTCCCATTCTCTGGATTTTCCAAGGCAACCGCAGAACACCAGGTGCTCAGTCCTGACAGAAACTGACCCTCAACTGACAATATGTGGGGAGAAAAAGGGGGTACGAAAGCAGAGCTTTCAGGGAAAGTAGAGCCGCAGCAATAGCCTCCCAGCCATAGAGTCACTGCTGCTTAATGGGAGGGGGAAGCAAGAAGCAAAGTTGGGGCTCCCCCAGTGCTTCCACCTCCCCCCCTGCTGCCGGCTGCCCAAGATCCAGCCTTTTTTTCTGAGGCTGGCAAGGAAGCAGCACCCCCATCACTCCTGCTGGCGGCCAGGCCCTGTCCTAGTAGAGCAGGCTCTGAGTTGCCAGTAATTAAAACCCTGTTAAACTTCATTAAGCAGCTCCACTTCCGACCTCATTAAATGATGATGAGGGGAGAGAGAGAGAGCAGGAAAGAGCGTGAGTAAATGTGATCACTCTCTAAACCTCAGCTTGATCAATCGCTTATCTGCTCTTTCTTTCTTTCTTTCTTTCTTTCTTTCTTTCTTTCTTTCTTCTTTCTTTCATTCTTATCATTTCATACCTGGATCTTTTATTTTGTCCCCCTCTTAATACAGCAGCTAGGAACCCACATGATCTAACCTCATTGTGTAATGTAAAGAGGATTAAAGCTTCACACAATAACTGAGTATGGGGTGTGTGTTTAAATAACATGCTGTAGTCTAGAACAGGCATGGGCAGGATTGATTTTGGGGTTGGGGGGTTGCCTAGACCCCCGCCCCTAGTGTCGACCAAGCAAAGCCACCTGTGTGATGGCAGCCTCTTAATGATCCACATCACCCCTTACATCTCCTCCCTACAGAAGCAAAAACCTACATCTGAGCTACTAAAAACAGAGATTTTAACAGCCTGTTGGGTTTTGTTTTTTTAAGTATTTCTTCATTGTTTCTGAGTCATAAACCGTTCCCAAATTACAGCAGATAAGCCAATGATTTACCATTAATGTCTGTAAGGGAGCATTTCAAAATGCCACAGTTCTTCACAGTGGCCCTCCCACCCACCACTCCCAACATACCAGCATGAAAACGGTCCAGCTCCAAGATTCTTAACCACAAAACTTCCCAAAGTGTCAGATTCCAAAGTTCTAAACTAGGGGTAGACAACTGGTGGGCCAGGAACTTAATCTGACCCCCTGAAGCTTTCCATCTGACCCCCTTTGCCAACACAAAAGAGTGAGTCAGTAGCCCTCTTCAGCCTGTTCAAAGGACACTGTGGGAATAAACTATGGAGGTCCTGGGCACTAGCCCTGCCCTCAGTACTGCAAGGGTGGTGTGGCTTTGGCAGACCAGCACCAGGTTCATTTGCAGCAGACAACTGTAAAAGCAACTGGACTAGTCTTCCCTGTCTCTATCCCCATCCCCACTTACTACATACCCACCCACCCACCATGGGATTAGTTGCATGTTTGGCTGAATACATGAAGAAACCTTCTGGCAATCAGGAATCCTCTGCATGCAGGGTTCCCAAATCACAATCCTCACAAGAACGATTCTAAGCGTATTCAGAAAAATGCATGAAGACTCTGGTGAGAGTAGAGCTGGAGGGCATAGCCCTACACACACCTTCCATAGCTGATGCCCACATACACTCTTGCATGACTCAAGAATGCTACAAGATAGAGCCAGTGTGGTTGACCTTCAGCTTCCACGCCTTAATTCAAAATATATTCCCCTATTCAAAAAATAAACAAAAATAAACCACTGAACATGTTTTTTAGACACAAAAATGTTCAAATCCAGCATTTCAAACTTCCAGGCCTTACATCCAAAGAGCTGTGGCTTAAGTTTACCCTTTCTTCACTAAGACCTTTTCAGCCTGAACTTTCCAGTGACACTCTACCAATATTCTATCCCAGGGATCAGCAGGAGGCCGGTCCACTGTCCCTCAGACCTTGTGGGGGGCCGGACTATATTTTTTGGGGGGAAAGAATGAATTCCTATGCCCCATAAATAACCCAGAGATGAATATTAAATAAAAGCACACATTCTACTCAGGTAAGAACGCCAGGCAGTCCCCACAAATAACCCAGAGATGCATTTTAAATAAAAGGATACATTCCACTCATGTAAAAACACACCGATTCCCGGACCGTCCGCAGACCGGAATGAGAAGGCGATTGGGCCGGATCTGCCCCCCGGGCCTTAGTTTGCCTACCCATGTTTTATCCTTTCTATATATTACATTGCTTTCCTGTCCATCCTCCAAGGAGCACAGGGTGGTTTGCAAAGGAACCATGAGCTGCAACCAAAGTTTGTTTTTTGCTTACTGCTCAGAGTTTGTTTAGAGGAAGCAAACCATGAGCCCAGGCTCTGGTGTAATGCTGTGCCAAACCATGGCTTAGCACCTAGCAGTGTGGCAGCAGCAGAAACAGGTGAGTAGTGAAGAGGACAGTGTTTTCTTCCTGTGCATGAGAATGCTTGGTTTATTGTGACGTGCCAACAGAGCCGATGATGAGCCCAAGGTCACCCAGTGTGGTTCATGGCTGAGAAGGCTTTAGACCTGGAACTAACAAAGCCAATTGTATATCCATCACAGCACTCTCACTATTTCTGCACTCCCCTTTCCTTGACCTGTAGAGTGAGTTACAGCCACGCCTGTGATAATTCGCCCGCCCTGAGTAAAAAATTAACTACCTCCAGAAGAACCACCTGATTTGTTGCACCATGGAGTTGGGAACTTGAGTCCCTCACAATACCAGTTGGGCTTTCATAGTCCCTGGCCATCAACCATGCTTAAAGAGCAGGACCAAAGGTTCCCCAACCTAGCATGAGCCTGCAATACTAGGTACGTTTTACTTGGACGCTGCTGAAATTAAACCAGATTCACAAAGCGAACAAATTTCAAACAAAGGTATTCTAATATTTGATACTACAGAACAGCCTTCAACAACCTGGTGCCCTCTAGATAGTATGGATCAGGAGTTGTAGTCCAAAGCATTGGCAGGTGGGGAAACCAGGCTTGCAAGGGTCCTGTAGATATTTATATGCACCATTTTTGCTGTGGAATTTCCCCTTCCTCCCTTCCATCCCCCACCCTTGATCTTGCTCATCACTGCAGCAATCTTGTTTCACACCTACACAGCTAGTCATTAGGCATCAATGGTAACCACACTTCAGGAAAAACAGAACCGTTGCCATGGGGGGCAGAGAAGTTGCGTCTGTGAATGAGACCCTTTGCTTCAATGATTTGGCCATAAAACCTGTCAACCTCACAAACCGTCTGCAGAACTTTCTAGCCCTCAAGCAAATCTCTAGCCACATTTTGAGCATTTGCCTCCTAGTTTCCCACTTTCTACACACACATCCCTGTCTTCTGCCCATAAGGTGGTCTTTGAAAGCCCTGCTCCAGGCAGGCAAGTGGTGATCTGGAGCGGGGCCTTCTCTGTGATGGCTTCCAGACTGTGGAATGCCTCCCTCAGAAACATTTATTTACCATCCTTTCTTCTGCCCTTTAACAGGAATTAAAAACAATTTTCTTTGCCTGGACTTTTTGACAAATGACGATGCTCTCTATTTTAGTTGCGGCTTTTATCAGATTATATTGGCAGAGTGTTTTGATTTTGGGAAGCTGCATTGAGGTTCTGATAGTAATGGAAAGGGCCAAGATATAAATGTTTTAAACAACTGATGCAATAAATCCTTGCTGTTTCCATCTAATGGGCAAGGTACAAAGTCTTAACATCCTCCACTGCAGCTTTCTTCCCTAACTTCCCTCCTTTACATGTCCCTGTAAGTGGTTACAACAGGGTTGGGATGTGTCAGAAGAATAGTACCAACATAGGTGTGGTTTCACCTGAAGGCAAAACACACAGTACCAAAACTAAATTTGCTGAAGTAATACAAATGCAGGGAACACACTTATAAGGAGAATCAGTGGGTAAAGAAGGGGGTGCGTCTACTTTACTTTGTTGTTTTTCCTCTACTTGTTGATTTCCCCCTCTGCAAATGAGTCGATTTTCCCTCCAGGCTCCCAGAGGCCAACTGGGAAGGGATGAAGGGATGGAAAAGGATGGAAGCAGCAGGAGATCTCTGCAGAAGAGAATCAACAGGCGCAAGAAGTGCTGAGCAGCCCCCATGCGTGGATTTTCTCCTGCAAACATCCTTTCCTCCTTTGCCTTGCCAGGCAAACATGAGAATGCTGTGTCTGCTTCGTAACATGGAGTTCCACCCAAAGGCAGCAACCCTACGCATGCTTATTTGAGAGTACAGTTCCACTCTGCTAAGTGGGATTTGGCTCTGCATAGGATTGGGCGGAAAGTGTATATGAAGAAGAACAGGGGTTCTGGAACATAAAAGCTGTTCCTTTTTGCCCACCTGCAGAGCGACCCATTAGACTAAGTGCACCATTTACACTACTACTACATGCCTTACTACCTGAATTCCCCAAAGTGCTCCATTCCCATTTGGTCACAACGCTGCGATATAGGACAACTTGATATTATAGAAATTATATTCACTCATCATTTATGCGTGACTTTTAATGAGTAAAGCCAATCTTCATCTATTCCACGTTCACAGCGCCACTCATGAGACAAGCTGCTATGGCTCACAGTGCACAGATGCTCAAGCAAAAGAGGCATTTGCGCATGATGTGAGAGTGGAGACAAAAGATGTGCAAAGAGGGACCATGCACACCTTTCCTCCACCACGTGTCCCCTGGAGGAAGAGAAGCATGCAGATATAAAAGCCAGTTGATGATCAAAAGAAGGGGAAATCAACCTTTTTTTCTCTCAAGGGCCACATTCCTTCAGGGGTAATCTGTTGGGGCCCACATGCTGGTGGTGGGTGGAGCCAGAGCCAATGGCAGAAGGAGCCAAAAACAAAAGTGATCTAACTAACCCAGGATGGAGGTATGCCTATGGAGGCAAGCTTGGCTCCCTCCCAACAGCAGGGAGCAGAATTAGCCCCTATCCCAGTTATTATGCCTTGATTCAACTCCTTGCTTTCTCCAGCACACATGAACAGCTGCCATTCACTCCCATAGGGGATAATAAAGTACTGTACCTGGGGACAGTTCTGTGTTGAGGGCAAAAAAGCCCTATCCCCTTGCTTCTGAGTGGCCTGGCCTTCAACAACAGGGAACCCATGGTGTGTACACATTACAAAGAGAAGCACTACTATCCCCCCATGAGTCCTTGCAATATGCAAGTCCTCTCTCCACACAAACACACATGCCACCTGTCATAATGACTTCCTAGTAAATTAACAATCACAATGTTATCTACTGGACCATACTGTCCCTGACTTGAAATCAAAACAGAAAACCCTTTAACTATTTGCTGCAGGAATTCTATTCTACTAAGCAGTCCATACTTGTTCCTACTCTCGGTGGTGATGTGCAAACCCACAGCAGGAATTGTGTTGCAAATTTCTCCCTTTGAGTTGCAAACCACCGATTTCTGAGAAAATCCGTCTGCCTTCTTCTGTTCTGGCTGGTTCCATCTGTGCAACAACTATTCCTTCAGTTGCCCACTTCAATTAAAGCCTACATGTTTCTGCATATGCTGGCACTCACAGGCACAGCAGATCTTGAACTTCATCGTCTCAAGGCTGCTAAAATGTTCTGCTGTTCATACACAATGGACTTCACTCTGACATAACAGGATTGGGTAAGTTTGTGCAGGATGGTTTGGAGCAAAAAAAGGTTCCAACACTGTGAGAATGCAAACACTCGCTAGCCACATCAATAAGGTAATCTGGAGGCACATTAAATAAAAACCGTGTATTTCCAAAAACTTGAATGCAGTCACCCCACAACGATTCACACACACATGACCAACTCTACCATAAAGACCAGCACGTGTAGCCATGCAATAATCCAACAGTTGTTCTGCAACTGTTCCACCAGAGCACCTTGTACATTCAATATGGTTTTCCAGCAGCAAGTGGCATCAGCAACCGGCTGTCCAATAGCCATTCATGCACATACTCAACCCAAGAGACTCAGCCTACAGCGCACAGCCACCCTTCCACAATGCTCAAGGAGCCACACGTGTTCTGCAAGAATCTATACAAAGGATTGTATGTGTTTTTGTACTCACAGAATCCCGTGCAATCTGTGGTCATGCAGTCACATATTCCTTCCATTTCCTCCAGAGCTGGAGTAGGCAGACCTCAGACTTGCTTGCTTGCTTTTTACCTGAAGTTCACCAACTAGAGCCTGGTGTAAAACTGAAGCTCAGGTAGGCAGACATACAGTAAGAACTGAGGAGCAGGGTGTCTCTGAGCATATGCTCAGTCCAGGAATTTGCAGTCAGTACCTGAACCAATCTGATAAGTCCACTCACATGAAAACCCACTGCTGGTCATACCCACCCACCCACCTCTCGTTTTTGTTTCAGCAACGTAATTAGGGTAAGGAGGTGGGAAGCTTTTTAGTTATTGCTATTCTTAAAACAACTGGGAGTCAGAAACTCTTGCTAATATACTGCAAATCACCAAAAGATCTACCAGAAGATCCCGAACTAATTTCTGCCCACCTTTGCTCTAGTCTAGAGCATAGTTAGATCCTTTCTTGTTTTAGAAAATCTATTGGATGTATGCACAGATTCACTGTGTGAATCAAGTCACCCCCACAGCATGCTATGAGCTTCATGGAAGTCCACAAAATTCATCTCACATGTCAGCAATTTGTAAATGATTCAGGCAATATGCATCTACATGAATCCCACCATTAAGACACATTTGCATCAAGTTCTATAGGATAGACTATACAAGCAGCCATTCACTGCTATGGAGGAAAGGAAAGCACTGCATTTGGGTACAGTTTTGCAACTTTTTCTCAAAACACACTTATAAGACGGGCCACTATTTTTATCCCCTATAATACATTTCAGGGAGGGGAGTGAACCTAAGAGACAAAAGGCCCCACAGGACACCATTCGGGCACATGATGGTATCAGGGCAGTTACACATGATTTCAATACTGTTTGCACCTGCAAGAGTTTTGTGATGGCCTTACTGCTTCGTTTCCAATCAGTGCATGTCCTGCTGTAATATACCACTGAAATCCTATAACTTTTTATAGCACAAATTTTCTAAGGTTTGGGGTGGGGGTTGTCCCACTTTTGTGCACTATAGCCCCTCCAGGTAGTAGCAATGCAGCAGCATTGAGGAAGTATCACAGAACACTCAATAAAGAGGAACAATGTGTGGATGGTCCTTTGTAAATCCACCACTAATGCACTGTTATTGCATCAACGACATATTTCAGAATACGCTGGTTGAAAAACAAACCAACCACGAGTTTGTCTAAAACCAGGGTATGGGTATCAGTCTCAAGCTGGCTAACCCAGTAGCTGCTCAATGTGCTTATCCATATGCTGCTCTCACTGCCACTAGTACACACACCAGCCTAGTGACAGCTCTCATGCCCACTGTTGTTCACATCAGTACAGCAGCCATTTTACCTTAGCTATCAGAATTAACATCCCCTGTGTCCAGCCTGTGACAGGGCTGAAGAGAGAAAAAGAACAGAAAAAGGGGGCTACAGGGAGAGTTTTGGAACGTGAAAATTGCAAGAACTGGTGAAGGAGACCCACCAGGCTGAACAGAAAGGAGGACTGCAGAAAATTGGAAGAAGTAGCAGGATGGGAAATGCAAGCAGATGCGGAGATCAGAGAGGGTTCCTGACTCTGGGAAAGGTGTGGTGTCAGCAAGGCACAAGGTAGTAGGGAAGATTCAAAGTAGGAGAAAGTATTGGTGCAGGCAAATATCTGCTCCTGGTGATTTCCTGGGTGAGCCATCACCCTGAAGCAACTTGCAGCCACTGCATTGTCGTCTCTCGCTTGCTCAGTCAACTTGGCAGCTTCCACACAAAATGTCAACAACCTGGCACACTTTGGGGCTAGGTGTGGGTGTTTTCTGTGGTGCTGCATCTGTTCTGAAATAGGTGTCGCCCCTTAAATATAAGGGTCTCCAGAAACCTTTATTTGTAGCAGCACAGGAGTGAGGGGAAACAAGCTGAAACAATTCCAGGGTAAGGGGAGAGAAAAGCATGAAAGCCAAAATATTTGGAATGAAGAGGAAAGAACTCAAGAGATGAGAAACTGATGCAGCTGGCAGGGTTGCACGTTCGGGCAAAAAAGAACAAGGGAAAGATCTGGGGACAAGGAGAGTGGAAAGGCTTGTACAATAAGGAAGGCAGATGAAATGGGAGACATAGTGTGGAGGCGTTAGAGATGAGTAGGGCACTTTACACAGTCCAGGAGGGCAGGATATTACCAATGGGTTGTGAAAACTGTGTAAGGTGTGCATGGGGATTGTAGAAGTGGGGGAAACAGGTGCACCCTCTGCAACACTGGCCTACATCCCAAAGCCGGCACAATTTTTAGTGACACCAGGTTGACACATATATGTGTGGGCGACTTCAAGGTGCACCCACCTCACGCAGAGATCTTCTCCAGGAGGAAAAGACAAAAAGAGATCTGGATGGAGGAAGGTGGACAGAGACAGCAAGAGGAAGAGAGGAAAAGAGGCAGGCAGAGGCTAAGGGGTCGGGGAGGGTGGAAAAGCTGTCTCTGCAAGAGAAGGTTTTTCACCCTGCCCTCATCTCTCCCCCCCCCCTTCATACACACAGACACACACACATGAGCCTCAGCACTGACCCCCCCTCCCATCACCAATGGCCAGTCCCTTGGGAGGCCTGTCCTCCTCCCCCCCCCCAATCCTGCTGACCCTGGCGCGTGGCTGTGCCCGGAGGCTCGGCTGGAACAAAGGGCCCAGAGCTCGGCCAATCAGGGTGTGCAGCTCTCCTGCCGCTGACCTTTTTATGATTATTATTTAAGGGAAAAAGCAGAGGCGAAGAGAGGAGAAAGGAGGGGAGGAGGCAGCAAAGGGAGGCGGGGGGGAGGGGGGAAGAGGACCGGAGCTTTGCAAAGACAAGCCGGCCCTCCTGCAGCCACTGTATAGAAATACCCCCACATGCACTAATCATCTCCCATCCCCCTTGCCCAGGCTCCTTATGAGTCCATATTGTCTGGGATCAGCTAGGGCACAACCCAGCAAGGGGCACATCCCTGTCTGCCCGTGCCGTAAGAAGAAGCTACTCCGCCCAGGATCTGAGCACAACTGGATCGAGAGGTGTTGGAAATGACATGGCGATTCAGCCCCGGATACCATAGGAGTGCGAAGACACTATCAATCCCAGTGCCATGGCCATCACTTGCCTGCATACATAACCCCACACAGAATCCCCACCATACCACATCAGTTTGACTGTCCCATCTCACCAAATATCCCACTTCTAAGAGAGGACCATTTGCAAGGGCTTCTAAGCAAAGCTACCAAGCCTAGAGGGAAAGATCTGCCCACGCGGAAGAAGAAGGAGATTTAGGTATCGTATATAGCCATGCCTTTTTTTGACAAGTTTAAGCAGTTGCACCCCCTGAGTACAGACGTTAGTGTCTCCTCCATCTGTTTGCCTATCCTTTCTCTTTTAACCCAGTTATCTGACAGCAGACATCCATACACACATCATAAAGGCATGTACCATAAGCTATTACCATCAGTTGTGCATGGGTAAAAATAAAGCACTTGCAAACATACAATGTCCACGAGAACCAAACTGTGGGTATAGCTGACCTGAGTTTTGCACTCACCTCAACCACAGACTTCTTGGGCAAAATGGCATGTCAAAATCACCATGAGGAAGATGCCATGAAATTCCTGTGATGTGAATGGTCTACTCCAGGCATAGGCAAACTCCGGCCCTCCAGATGTTTGGGACTACAATTTCTATCATCCCTAGCTAACAGGACCAGTGCTCCGGGATGATGGGAATTGTAGTCCCAAACATCTGGAGGGCCGGAGTTTGCCTATGCCTGGTCTACTCAGCTGACCAGCTTCTGGTCAAACAAATAGCTATATATCTGGTTTGAACGGATACATATCAGAGCATTCATACAAGGCCTCTCATCACGTCAAAAAAAGTCAAATGTTTGGTGGTTTCACAATGCACTCCTTACAATGAAAATGGCTACATGCATCGACTGCTATCGGCACATCCTAAACAAGCTATTGTCCATCCGCTTTGGTGTTTAGGTTCTCAATATATGAAATGGAAATAAGAGCAACCTCTAAAGTACTTAGGCAATAAAGTAGAGATTGCATAGCACTTTATGGTGTGCTATATTATAAAATAATAAATTTCAGTCCAAAATAATGCACATTCATGGAATTTTTCCTTCCTTTCAGAAACTTTGTCCTTGAAATCCACACTCATTGAGGGCCTAGTTTGCTATTAGCAAATGTATTACTTGCCAGTGTCAACTGGGTATATGGGAATTCAGTATATAACTTGTGCTCAGATTTTTTGACAGGTGCCTGCTTTGATTTTAATCAGCCCACAAAGCAAACTAAACGAGCTCCCAGCTACCAAAGCAATGTAGCCCGAATCAAAGTTTAGCCAAATGAAAGATTCAAAGCTGAAGTTCTCCATGGGTTTGAAACAAATCCCAAAAGCCATCAATAGGAATGGATGCTCAAGTCTGAAACGGAATCCGAAATACACTGTGGAGGCTCAGGGTCAGCTTGGGGGTGGCTTGCCTATTGAGTTACAGTGCCTTTCCGAATTCTGCCATCCTGCGCTGGGTGATATCCAAGTCATAGTCAAAGCAGAAATGATTGAAATGATTGGACTTGGCATTCAGGACAGACAAAAGGAAATATTTCTTCACATTTATTCACATGGTTCAACGATGGAGTTTCCTAGTGTAACAGCCAACTTGCATGGCTTTTAAAAAAAGTTTAGATGAATTCATGGAGAATAAGGCTATCAATGGCTACTAGTCACGGTGGCTGTGTACTACAACCAGAATCAGAAGTGGTATGCCTCTGAATACCAGTTGCTGGGGAGCATAGTTGAAAAAAGTGCTGTTGGGCTTGCAGGCTTCCCATAGGCTTCTGGCTGGCTACCATGCGAACAGGGTAATGGTTTATTTGGGTCTTTGGTCTGATCCAGAAAGACTCGTCTAATATACTTAAGTCCACTGATTTCACTGGGTCTACTCTGTGTATGACAAACACTGGATATCACATCTGGGGAGTTTAAATAAAACCATAGCAACCTTCATCACTGCCAAATTCTTTCTCATCTTTCTGGCACTTAATATTACAAAGACTGGTGCCTACTGTCTGAAGAACAGCTCTGACTAGCTCAAAAGCTTGCAACCTTGTGCTATCACCAAAACTGGTGAAATGAAGGTATTACCTACATGGATCTTTAAAGTTTCCAAAGACAACATTAAAAACTAGAAGCAACACACTAAAAAGGCATGTTCCTAAACCTTTATAAAAAATCTTTTTCAAAATGTATTTTTTTTTTGAATAGAGACATCACAATTTGAAATGCATGTTCTATCTACCATTGGTTTTTTTATTTGACATGGAGCAAGGTAATTCTAAAAATGCAAAAGCAGCCTAGATCACAGCCTAAATCACAGGCAAAAACATGAACTGGATGTACGTGTCACTGTAAACAGACCACAAGACACTAAGGAGGCACAACCTTGTGTAGAGATACCAGTGGCAAACACTCCTGCAAAAAAACACACTCACACATTGCATGCAGGAGGGCATGGTGTAACTATCCTACAGCCACGGGACGCTTGTCCAACCATCTGGGCCTCTGCCTCCCACTCAGCTGACCAAGTATATATTATCAGGCCCAGAAAAGAAAAGGAAAACTGATTTCCAATAACGTTAAGTTCCCCCGAATTGATCTTAGTACCTAAAACCTTGATGGCTGCCCCATGGAGTTTTATTTTATGATTATTTTGCCAGTGCACAACACAAATGTAACATGCCAAGACAAGGTCCACAATGCGCATTTCCCCCTCGTGCACAGCCATCCAGGTTCCACACCCACCACGAAAAGAACTTTGGCTGGCTTTGTGCCATCCCACGACACCCCACATCCAGACCTAGATGGGGAAGGCGCCAAGGATGGAAGGATGGACACACACCAAACACACTGACTTCTCTGACCAGAGAGAGAGAGAGAGAAAGAGAGGGAAGGAAGGAGCATGAGAGGGTGGAGGTGGGGGCAGTTACTACAGGCTGGAAAATCGATTTCTGCCTCTGAACAAGCTTCGCTTCCCAGATCTCCGGGTTCATTAGCACGGACTGGGCTTGACACCAATACAATTTCCACACCGCGCTGGCTGCAGCAGAGCAGGGGGGGAGGGGTGTGCATGCAGGGCCAGCTCTGCAAAGCCACTTCTCTGAACCCCCACCACCCACCCGCCAGCCATAGAACGTGTCAGGAACAGATTATAAAACTGCCTCCTGTCGTTCCCCCCCTCCCTTTGGGTCGCCCCGTTCTTGCCTTTACCCTTTCTCAGGGGTTGCTTCTCTCCCTACCCACTAATGCACCAATGCCCACATTTCTCTTCATGCCCTGATCCTTCTCTATCCCTGATACTCCTAAATCTCCAGCTGTCAGGTCTACCAAGGAAAGGAAGCTCTCCCAGAGTATAGTTGGTTAGAGTAGGGGAAATCAGTCATCAGGACGCCTGGGTTCTCTCCCATGAGGTGGGGAGCGGGAGGGGAAGGGGAAGAAGGAGATCTACCAGTCAGCGGTTATTGCTAATTTGTTCATTAATAAGCATCCACATCCCACCCCAAAAATATCACCGCTGTCCCAGTTCTTACCCAGATTCTTACCCAGCACATTCCATATAATCCACTGCCTCATAATTTTAGGAGGCAGAAGAGAATTTTTCCCCAAGGTCACCTAGAAAAGCCCTTCATAGACCTCGGGAGCCCCAGCTCTGAAGACAGCCCTCCCCTACCTCCCTTCTCTAACTACTAGACCACCATGCACCCCCCTCTCCCCTGTTCTGAAGGCCCACCACTTCAAAGGAACACATCCCCACTTATCATTTGAGTTCACCGTCCATAGTCTAATGGTCGAGAGGTGCAATCCAAAAGTCTATTTTTAAGATGCGCCCAGACATAATAGTGAGGTGTGTAGATGGGGGGGAGCATAGCAGAATGAAATAGCTTGACACAGGGGGGCCAGAGGAGCTATACATCTTACGCTGACAACAAACAGTAACTAGAATACAGAGGAAATGTCTAAAATCGGAAGAGGGGAGCAGTGAGCCACAAAACAGACCCCAAATGCTGTGGGGTGTTAGGGGGGACATAAATCCCCCTTAAACACAAGGCAACGGTCCTGTTTCATTTCCCATCTGAAGCACCCCATCTCAAGGAAGACAGAGAATCTGAACTATTCACAATTCCAGAATTTAACTCGCAGAATTGGTGGGTGGAGGAGGGTGGGCATAAGCAGACATGGGGTGGGGGGAACTAGTCAAACTTCAACAGGAGCTTATTGTTAGAAGCATTTGACTAGATGTGGGTAAGATTTGGAGGGAGGATCTGAAGCATAAAACCAGAAAATATTGGTGGGGTGTTTGGCATGATTGCACTAGAGTAACCATTTATCGGGGTTGCACCTGAAACTCGAACAGGATATTCTTGGGGGACAATTGATGAAAAGGGGTACTTATGGGAGGCTGCGAACAATTTGACAGAACTGGCTGGCATTGGAGAAGAGGCAGGTGGGGTTATTTGGGGGCACCTTCCCAGACTGGATCTCACAGGTGCTTTCTGCCCACCCCCACCCCCTAATTCTCTCTGGGCTAGAAAAATCCTCCCCCACCAGCCCACCACCTGCCTAGCCCTAAACCTTACTTGGTGTTTCCCATATACCGAACAGAGGAAGAACCTCATAGGGAAATAATAGCAATATAATAAAAATAACTTGATGGTTGGGGTGGGAGCAAAGGCTTCACCGGTCCCCCCCCCCCAGCCAGCAAAAGTGAAAGTGTGGGGGGGATCTCTCTTTTCTTTTCTTTTTCTCCCCCTTTCTTTTTTCTCTTTTTTGCCCAGTCTTCTTCCACCGGCGTCTGCGTGCTGTTGGTTTCGGCGGCTGCCTTTGGCTTCTTTTCCCTGCTTACCACCCACCCCCACCGACCCCCACCCCCTCCGTCTATCGACCGCAGGATGCCGGCGCCGGAGGTTCGATACGGAGCAGTGACACTCCGGATCAATACCGCATGAATAAAAACCCCGCTCGCCCATCTCCGCTTTCTTCCTCTCCCTCTTTCCCCTTTTTCTCCCCTCCTTTCCCCCTCTTTCTCTCTCTCTCTCTTCTCGCCTGCAAGAGTTGGTGGCATCTCTCTCATTCTCTCTCTCTCTCGTCTTTTTCTTTTCCCCTTTCCCTTCCTTTTCCCCATTATGTTCCTTGCTGACTTGCCGGCTGCTTTCTTTCTCTTTCCGCCCCCTACACCCCCTTCTTCTTACCGTTTGCAGAGCGCAGGGCGAGCGGCGACTTGAGGCGCCATCCGTTCTCCGGGCCGGCGGATCTTTGGAAGACCAAGGGGACCGGCAGTGGGATGAACATGTCGGGGACCTGTGAGTGACACTCCGCATAACCCCACGGAGGGAAAAAAATATAAATATATATATAAAAGGGTGGGTGGGTGAGTGGAGAGAAAGGGGTGGCAGGCGGGCGAAGTGGGGGGGGGGACACATACACACACACGCTGGACAGGTGACGATCGACCGAGGATGACAATCAACCCAGGGTGGGGGGGGGAGTGGAAATCTCTCTCTTCTCTCTCTCTCTCCCCCCCCCTCGACACACACTGCTCCGCTTTCTGCACTTACACACGTGCGTGCATGGGTGTGTGCACGGGCAAGTGCGTGTGTGTTTGTCCGTGCTGCAAGGACGTGTGAGGTTTGGGCACTACAGCCGGACAGTGTGCATCGTTTTAAGGCTTTTGCAGAAAAGGAAAAGGGGGTGCGAGTGCGTGCAAGTGTGTGTGTGTGTGTAAAACACTGCGTGCCCCCCCGACAGTGCCTGTGTGTGTGTGTGTTGCCCCTTTTCACTAGATCAACGGGGGTCCCTTAGCTCCGTCCGAATCTTTCTCTCCCCCCCACTTCACCTCGCCCCCCTTTTCCATCACACACACACACACACAGCCTACGATTCCCACTTTATTGTCTTCCCCGTTATCTCCCCCCCCCCTTGCTTCTACCTCCCCTCTCTCCTTCCAACCACCCCGCTTTGACAAATGACATCCGAGCCAGCGACTTGCCGTCCCTCGCAATCCCCCCCGCGGGGGGCTCCGCTACCAACATCTCCCCCCCCTTCCTTCTTCACTCTTTGCACAAATACAGTCCACCCAGACAAAAGCAATTATTCCTTAGGTACAAGCTTAGTGTGGGTGTTGAAAGGGGGGGAGGGGAAAGAGAGTATGGATGAATTATTGACACCCCCCCTCAAGCAAATAATCTTCCTTCGCTTGCCTTCTTTCTAAAAAAAAAAAATTAACACACACCCTACACCTGACACTTCTACTATCCCTCTTTTTTCAGGGCTAAAAATAAACCCCTTAATCAGCTTCATAAGGCTCCTCCATCCCCTTATTTAAATTAATGTGTGTGTGTGTGTGTGTGTGGCCCCAAACCAGGCACTCAGCGCTCACAGCCCCTTCCAGGTTTATTATTAGAAGAAGAGAGATTTACACAGATAATTACTACTAGGCACTGTAATAATAAAGGGGTGACCTTCCCCACCCCCAAAAAATAGCCCATGGGATATATAATGAGGCCAAGAGAGTTTCTGTAATAACTCTTTGACTTCTCTCCAGGAGACTCACTTTCTTTTACTTTCCTTCAAGGGGGAAAGCAGAGGCACCTGTCCGTTCATCCCCTAGTCTCTCTCTATAAGGCTTTGGGGAGGGACGTGTGTGAGAAAGCGACCTCTTCTGTGATCACTTTGGTTCCTGGCTCAGGATCACACCGTGCTTCTCTCCCCACCCAGGCTTTATCACCCATTGAAGGAATTGGCACATTTTTTTAAAAATGCACATGCATTCAGATGTTGCTTCTCTAGACGATGTTGGTTTCCTTATTTTCCCCCAACTGCCTTCCCCCAACAGTGTCAGGTCTGTGTAAGCTGCAGTTGGGGTCTCAACCCCAGCCAGCGCTGCTTCCTCGGAACTGGCAGGATGGCAAGATTTGAGACAGACAATAGTTTCAAAAGGGAGTTCACCAACATGGATCGCTAAAGGCTTCGTCGCCTGTCATCGACACACAAATTTCTCCTGCACCCACCCTGCTGCCACGCTCCAAAGGGGTTTGGTAGGATTTTGCAACAAGGCTGGGGGGAAAGCCCTGCCAGACCTGTCTAACTAGAGGACCGCTTTTCCGAAGCGACTTCAACCCTCTGGAGTGGAGGGATGCTACAGGCTAGTTGGTACCTCTTTCTCCTGCTACTACTAACCCTCACTGAACCCCATCCGCCATACTTCCAGTTTGGTGTTTCTGCATCAAATCAGCCCTTGGAGAAACTGTTGTGTGGATGAGCTGTGAGTCACAGCTAGAGCCAGCCAAACCCCAAAACTTGAGTCCTGCCCCAATATCGCAGGATATTTCTTTTTTCCCATTTACTCTCTGGGTGCAGTTGGATTCTTCTCCCCACCACCATGCACATATCCCTTATTACTCTATTATGATCTTGCAAGTCCTGTTCAACTGCATTTCAAACAAGTGGTCCAAAAGGAGATCAACAGCAGATACCATTATCTGTGTCCCATTGAACTCTCTTTTCATGTATCATTTGATTCCCCCCCCTTTTTTTTTTCCAACAGCCCTGGAAACATGGAGAGAAAGTAGATAGAGGATGGATGCAAAGATAGAAATGTGTGGGGAGAGAGCGCGGAGTGGAAGATAGACAGACAGACAATATATGAAAGGGAGGGGGAGAGAGAGACGGAGAAAGGGATGGACAGAGAATGGGATGGAAATATATTAGTGAGAGGCAGAAGGAGAGAGGAGAGGGGTATATATGGTGTAATATAGATAGATATCAGATTGATGGAGGGGCAAATAGATGAATATGCATGGGGTAGAGAGGGAAGGAGAGAGAGGGGGGAGAGAGAGAAAGAAGAGGAAAAAATAAGAGTTGGTGGGATAGAAAGAGTGCAATTATTTGATTCAGTACCACAGTGCTGAGGTCAGAAATTAACTGCCGCTAGCCTTAAAGTGGGGGTGTTAATATGTTCTCTCTCTCTCTCTCTCCTTTTCTCCCTGTCTCTAGGTCACAGAAGATGGAATGTACACATACACACATACACACACACACAAACGAACCAACCAACCAAGACTATTACAGTAGACATTTTCCAAAATAATAACAAAAGCCAAACTGGGGATGATGGCTGTTTTTGGATAGTGTTTGATCTCACCTGAAGAAATTCTCTTTCTGGAGTGAAGCTGGGAAGAGGGTACATGTGCACCCCATTTCAGCCTTCAAAGGGAAAAGGAAGGTCTGTAGATGCTAATAATAAACCACCGTAGGAAAGAGGAGCTGAGTTAATCACAAATCCACCCATCCAAAGAAACAAGGCAGTCACCTAACAGGAGGACTTGGTTCGTTTCCAGGAGAGCTGCCTGCATTGGAATTGCCCACCAAATGTAAATCCTGAACAGGCTACCTTGAAAATTACTCCTTTCCACGTTCTAATCTGCATTTAACAACGCTTAAAAGTATTGCTTTGTAGATGAAAGGGAGTTCTTAGCAGCACCTGCGAAAATGCCCTTATAACTGCTGGTCCAATGAGGTATTGCCCCCTCTTCTATTTCATCCCAAACAAACTAAAAGAAACACACTGCTCTTTTAAAATGTGCAGCATGGATATGCCATTTCCAGTCTCCACCCTTTCTGCACCAGTATCTACTCTACTGGGCATTAGAAGGATTGTTTCAATGTGATTTATTTTTATATTGTAACTACTCTAAACCGATGGGAATTGGATGGGGTGGAAATAAAAAATATTCATCCTAAATACATCGCTAATCTCAAATTTAATTGCTGGCAAAAGTATTTATTGTTTTGTTTATTTATTGTTTCCATTGTTTCCACCTTTCTACAACAGAACTGATGCTTGGAGTAAGAGGTTTAAACAAGGAGACGTGGAACAGAAAAGTGTATGGAATAATGAGTAAACAGAGGAAGGTTTTATCCCTATAAGCCAGCATCCGAAGAGTTGAGCTCAATGGCTTGTGGGTGGGTCCCTGCTTGGATTCTGGACTACAGTATTTATTTCTTGAAACAGCAAAATTTTCTCCTCCGTGTCATATTACGAACTATTTAGTTTCAAAAATGACTTCTTTCTAGCATGCCAAACTTCCTTGGGTAAGAGGATCCAGTTGTGCCGTTCTATGGATGTGGGCCTTAATTTCTCTCTGTAGACAGATCATATAGATGTGTGCATACACCTGTTTGCTTTTTCTTAAATAATCCAGCTTTTACATTGTTATTTGTGCATTCAAACTTCAAATATAATGGCACGCAATTAATTAGCATGCAGGTAATAACTACGTGCAGACTCCAAGTAAGGGGTGGGCATTCTGCATTTCCATCTGCATCACACAAGATGGATGGGAAGGAATATCCTATCCACACCACACAGTGCTAATGCGGATCCAATCAGCAATGAAGCGCTGGGAACTGCATGCATGATTCCCAATCCAATATCTGGAACTGTATGTATAGCTGGGTGCTGGCATCCAAACAAAAGATCTGCTCATGTAGCAATTTTGCAGCGTAAACAGATCCTGATCCAGAAGATGAACCTGCATTATGTATGGATACTTCTTGCTGGATTGGTTAAACTTGTATATCCTTTTTCTGTGAACTGATTAATCCAGAGCAAGTAGCACCAACAACTTAGATGGATAAGAATCATCACTAAACATGCATACACACTCTTTGGTCACTTCAACCATGCAGATTACGTGTACAAAAGGTTAATTGAAATAAGAGAGAGAGAGAGAGAGAGAAGCCATTCTCTATTAAATATTATTTAGAAAACATTATTGCTATCCTGCAATGTACAAGATGTTACTTTGCAGTTCTAGAGTTAGATACAGTATGTCTTTTGCATGTATTAAGATACTTCCTGTCTTCATTTAGAATTAAAAACTGGGAAACAAGAAATCTCTTTATACCCCTACCGTATCATATTTGTTTACCATTTAAATGTTTATTGTAAAAAGATGTGCAATTTCAGCCTTTCCTCCTGTACAACTTAGCATCCTCACTACAACCTGGGCCTACCTTCAAAGAAATGGAAGGATCTAAAGGACTATGATGCCGTGGCTTACAAGCTCAATACAAAAGAAATAAAGATTTGGAAGAAAAATTCAATAAGTGATCTAATAGAGCAATTAATGGACCCTCTGAAAAATTACCAAGAAATCTGGAATGAACACTCTTTTCCAGTTTTTCATTCCAAATCTTATTAAGATTTGGTTGGTTCATTTTATCTTTTTAAAATGCAATTTGCTAATTTGGAGGCAATAGTGGGGAAATCTAGAAAGAGGTTTGGAGGAGGTGATAATTTAAAGAGAGAGAAAGAGAGATTGAGATTTAATCAGAAATAGTTCTCCTCCTACAGAAAGTAACATACAATTAAAAGAGGAAATAAAAGGAACAAAAAGAATGGAAGATGGGATTTCTTTGTTGCTGCGGAACTCTCGCTGGGATATCGTCAATGAATGGGGGGGGCCATCATTCTTTGGCTGTCTTCCATTCTATCTTCTTTTACGGGATAGGGAGATACCTGCAAAGCGTTTTACCCTCATTCCCCAGTTCCTAAAAAAGGGAAGGTAGGAAAGTGGATGTGATATTTGCAAAAAGATTGCTGTAGTGGGAAACTAGTAAATATACAGAGGAGTTTTCTCACGTCAGACATGGAAGAGAAAATATTTGGGGTAAGCCTTCATCAATAGGGGGCCGGGCCTCCATGTTCAACTTTGCTTTATCCCACACATGGGCAATGAGATCAGCTTGGTTTTTTTAGAGTGATCCTTTATGACTTTTGGGGAAAGGTGTCATCCTGAATTTTTCCACCGAAATTCCACTGCAGTAACCTGTGCCTTTTAACATCATCAGAAATTGTACGGTTTGATGCTTTACACATTAAAAAAATGTTCAACGAAACAATAAAGCCAATTTCAACCCACCCTGAAAAATAAGTAATCGGAGACTGTCACTTATTTCAAAGTACAGTATTGTGGATTCAGTGGGCCTTGTTAAGAAGAAAAGACAACATGCACACCAGAATCACATTCATAGGTATGCTTCACCTAGTCCCTCCAGCCCTGGATTGGAAGAAAACAGAGGCCAAATCCATTTTCCTTGCCACTTTGTAGAAAATGTAGACATTTGGCCTGATTGTACAAAGATCTGTTCTTGATCCCTGCTCCTCTAACTTGAACTATTAGCAGCAGGCAATAGTGAAAATGTATGAATAAAATCCCATGTCACAGAATCAAACATAGCAGTATTTTTTTTGTATGATGATGTATTTGGCACTTATGTTCCTTACAGTTTCTGGCCAGCAAGCGAAGAAGGGGCAGGTATGTTCAGGAAGAGGGGAAATGCCAGCACTGCAGCAGCTCTCACCAGTGAAATATCAAGCCACTGTTCACTTTTTTAAAAGAGGCTTCTCCCATTGTCAGCAAAAACAGCAAGTAAAACACTACCTGTGTGTGGGGTCCATCTCCTGCATGCATATATTTGGACCCTACCCCTTTAGCTCTTTCATCTTCCCAAGTTCATAACCCTGCAAGGTTAAGTATTATAATTCCCATTTTACAGACATAGCAACTTCTCCAGTGCCAGCCAAGGCACCCACAGATAGATACCGACAGCATCAAAATTTCACATGCCTGGCCAATCAAATAGCCAAGACTTCTCCAGACTTCATTGTATGTGCTTAAAATAATATAACGGTCCTGCCACCTACAATATGCTCTGTTCCTGACACAGGACACAGGTTAAGATCCCTTGGAAGAATGCAGGCAAGACTGCCAGATGTCACTAAGCATGTCCCCATCTTCAGCCAGAACTCACAGTGATGCCCATGAACCATCCCTGCCCATCAGCTTGCCCAGAAAGTGAGATGGAATCAAAAAAGAGACAGTGGGATTCCTCTAAGGGTCACACGAACAGTCGGTGAGCAGCAAGGACAGAGTCTACCCACAAGGCACTTAGTCAAGGCTTGCCCACCCATACATATTTTGGTTATTTTGGTTTCCTAGCTGTGTGCCCTAAAATCAAAGCATTAATTTCCCTCAGAAAATTTAGAAATCTGGGTGCTGAAGCTATCCCTATCCTAAAAGCAAAATACCTCTGTCTGCTTATCTTGCTAATAGTTTAGACCCCAACTAGACATGATATTGGAGTGGCATTAATGCATCTCTCAGCACCTTTTTCCTTTCCAGGTAAGTAGCAGCTGTGGGAAAAGTCAGTTGGGGCTGCAGAACAACGGAAAGGGAATTAACCCTCTGCATGCCAGGTGCTGATTTCACCAATGAAAACCTCATGCACACACCTACTGCTATTAGCTGCAGGGGGGGGGGCAGGAAAGTACCTATATTATACCTCCTACATGGCTAATAGCTACTCTTGGGATAGGGGTAGGGGCAGGGGCAGGAATGCAATTTGAATCTGGGTAGAAGTGCAAGGAGAAAGGGTTAAAGGGCCATACTCCTGTAGTTCTACACTGAATCAAGACCCCCAAGTGGCTGCTCTTAGAAGAAGAAAATTATGTCAGGAAATCCAATCGCTGATCATCCAGTTAGGCTTTTGGGGTCAGGGTTAGCCTCAGAAAGTTGGAGCACCTGCCTCTGTATTTATTTCAGTAGGATGGCCTCCTTCATTCACACTCCAGTGATATTTCCATACATAAAATGTCCGGTGTATCTACACTACAAATTTTGGTTTTGAAAAAGTCCCTTTGTTATGGCTACTCCCACAGAATCCTGGGAATTGTGATATGGTGATGGGGTTGGCAGTTCTTCCTTGGAATTTCCTAGTTCCCCTCACAGTACAGTTCCCAAGGGAGAAAGAAAGACCCTGGAACCAGCTTACGCTCAAATTGGTGCATACCTTGAAGAAAAGCCTACGTTGGCCACACGTGCTTTTCCTTCCGTATTCTACCCTGCATTAGTGATATTTACAGCGTAGCTTCACACTGCATGCATACGTGGGTAACAAGAGTCTGACAACTAACTGTTTGGATGGCAATTTTTGAGCAGAGAAGTGGCAGGGGTGTGCTTAATCCCTTCCCTGCCTGTGGCTCCAAATCACACACACACCCTCAGCCCCTGCAGAGAGCATGCACGTTTTTGGCACCGGAGGTGCACAGGGCTGGCTTGGAGCGGAGCAATTTGGAGTGGAGAAGTAGCAGCCGAGAGAAAGGATTCGGCACATAAGGCACACTCAGCTGCTTCTCTGCTCGAAACCACCCCCTCCCCAGTGCTGCTTTTGCCCAAGAAAAGCAGCCATCTTTTGATAAAGGCCTGTGCATGGAACACGTAGTTCTGCCGCTGCATCTGTCACTAATACAATGAGAGAGTTCCAAACGTGGTTTTTAGTGACTTTTTCTCGTTGATTTTTCTTTACGGGTGGGGAGTCAATAGCCTCCCCCCCCCCTGCTCACACGCCCCAGAAACAAACTTTGCAGAACTACTGACCTTTCAGGCAGAAGTGGCAGCTGTAGTACATTCACTCCAGTCCAGTCCAGAACCTGAGGAGAGAACAGAGTGTCAGAAAAGGCCTGGGATGACAACACCACTCTCACGGGCACATATCAAAGGAACAGCAATGTATGCACAAATACTGCACAACTTGCACACAAAGAAATGAGATTTCATTGAATTCTCAGTAGGGCCCACTGGAAGCAGACGTTTTTAAAAGCGTTATTAAAAAGTATCTTTACCTCAGTCGGACACACACACTCACATTTATTTTGCCTCACTGTCATCTCCAGTCAAACAGACTTTGAAAGGTTTTCCAAAAACCTGCACAACCTGTTTGATTGGATATGCTAATAGCACAGGAAAAGCGAATCTCCATAACCAGAGAAAACAGTGGTTCTCTCCAGCAACCTTTAACCATCTGGGAACAAATATATAATCTGTTTTTAAGCTAGGCAAAACATTAAAGGTGCCACCTTCTTTCCCCCGCAGAACAGAGCCTGCGTCTTACGAGACTGTGTGGTCTCTTCCTAGTTTGCCTCACCTTAGCTCTGTGTTATGGTTTGGGGGTTTTCCTTGGTGCTTTTTTTTTTTTTAACTCAGACCACTCTCCACCAGGCTCAAATGACTCAAGACAAAAATGGTTTAAACAGTGGTCTGTCCCAATCATGTATAAAGCAGGGGTGCAGCCATTTTCTAGAGCAAAGCGATATGTGGACGAGGGGAGCTGAATCCTTACCCGCCCCCAATCTGCCACATATCTCCTCATAGCATCTCGCCACAGACACTTTTCTCTCTCCTGAGCTTACTTCCATGGTTGTTGCCCAGAAGTGGGGAGAAGTGACTTCAGGAAAGAGACTGTGAGAAGGGAAGATGCATTCCTGAGGTAGAAGGTTTCTCAACAGCTTTGAAACGCCCCCCCTCCCCAGACCTCATGCCTCAGAAAACCAGCCCCCGCTCCCCCATTTCAAGTGTGACTAAATCGGGCCTAGATTTAAACACAGGCACTGTTCACATGGAGTTGAGCCTCAATAAAACTCAGGCCGCACTTTCACCCAACTAAGACACTACTGTAAACAGCAATGGCTTCCCCCAAAGAATTCTGGGAGTTGTCATTTGTGCTGAGAGCCGTTCCCCTCACAGAACTACAATTCCCAGATTTCCTCCTGAAGAGGGATTAATTGTTAAACCGCTCTGGGAATTGTAGCTCTGTGAGGGGAATAGGGTGTTTCCTAACAACCCTCGGCACCTGTGACAAGCTACAGTTCCCAGGATTTGTGGGGGGAGGGGAAGTCATGGCTGTTTAAATTGGTACCAAGGTGGTGTGCATTTGTGGCCTCCTTCTCTGACAGTTTCATTCCTGGATGCCTCACACTCTTCTCCCACAGAACCAATCCTGCACAATGGTGCTTAATGGTGGGGTCGGCCATGACAGGGCCTGTTACTAAAGCAACTTAACTTTGTAGGTATACCTCAGACAGAGGTGGCCAACCTTTCTGGCAAGGGGGCCACATATCGAGAGATAGTATGCACCTCTCCCCAAACGCCTCAGAGTGGAGTTGCTTCCATCCTACGGAAATGCAAAGGGTGTAGGATCATAGCGTTGCAAAACGGCAAGGCAGAGAAAAGGCCCCGGCTAGCTCTATGCCAACCACAGCTGGGTCTTCCCATTTTTTTTATCTGCGAGTACCACAAACCTCTGGTCCCAGCACCATTTAGCACCTGTGCCAACAGTACCCTTTGCCAAACTATATGCGCACCAGGATAGAAAAATCCAGACTCTCCGTACCTAAAATAGCGGACCTGCAGACGTCAGAAAGCAGGATACTCCTATAAAACTTTGCTGGATCCTAAGATTCCCCAATGCCCTTCATTACACAGAACATAGAAAGGAAGGCGCACTCATAGTGAGCTACTGCAGCAGAGAGGCACACAAATTCTGCAATCCACAAACGGGCCTCTTCCAAAGTTGCGTTTATCCTTCCTTGTGGAGAAACAGGGGGAAGCTAAAGATCCACATTAATTTTTCGGAATCGGTACTTGAGAAGAATAAGCAGAAATGCAACGCTATGGATCTTTCTTCAAAAATACACACGGATGGTCAATTCAGATGAAACATTTTCCTCTGAGCATTTTTTTTAAACAGGGCTCATAGCAAAGAATTCCTTTGTAGAGGAATAAGCGCTGTTGTCATAACAGGGACCACCAAAAAAACGGCCTTGCATTTGCAAGAGCTCACTTGCAAACACCCAACCCATCTCATAAGGCCACACCCAAAGTGTCCGACCACAACTGTCCTCTTAGGACCCTACACACCTCTTCCAGAGTCCTGGCTCGTAGCTTGTGGCATTCCTGCTACGGCCCACTGAAGCCCACTCCCCATTCCAAGTGCCGGAATCCAGGTGTCCTGGTTCTTCGTACCCTCCAGAATTGACATAAAACTCCCCCCTGCCCCTCGCACCCCCCACCCCTGGCTACGCAGCGTACCCACAGTTGTTCCTGCTAATCAGCCGATGTCATCTGCGGAGTGAAGTCTTTGCTTAAAGAGATTTAGGGCAGGAATCAATAGGAAATTTAAAAATCAATGCGGTTAGTATGAGAAAATCAATGGCGTTTAATCGGCCTGCCGATCCCCAGTCACAACAATTAGAAGGCTGGGATGTTCTACATCCCGCTACACACCATTAGCGTCAATATTTGTGTAAGTGATGGCAGGGGGCAGTTGGGGAGGGGAAAGGGGGGGGAACCCCAGTCTGGCACGAAAGCACTTGAAAGCTAGAGGAAGCGTGTGCGGAAAAGGCGGGGGGGGGGGATCCCGGCATCTTCTGCTCGCTGTTTCCCTTTGGGAAGGAGCTCCGCTTGTTGCGTTTCTTATTCCTGCTCGCTGAGTTCTTAGCATGAGCTTCCTCTCTGTGCCTTTCTGGGGTTGCAGATTTGGGGTTTGGGGGTTCTACGCCTACCTCCTGGTGTGTGGACTGGGAACGTCCAGCATCACGGCGGCTCGACTCTTTTCCTGCAGCCCTAGAAGGAGCTGCAGACGCCGTAGTTAGGTAGAGAAGATGAACTGGCCTTGCCAAGAGCTGATCCGGAGGGTCGGCCACAATGGTACTTTTTCAGCTCCCTTCCCCTGTGGTCGCTCGATGCACAGGCCTAGGAACAGCAGGGCTTAGGGTGTTGATTCCCATCTTCCACACCACTGTTCAAGGTGCAAGACCCCTATCCTCTTTTGCATTTGCATCCCCCAAGATGGAAGGAAGGAGGTAAGGAGGGCCTTGGCAGAGGTTGGAAAGGGTGTAAGCTGTAGCAAGCAGGGCATATGCAGCGCAGGTGGGAGAATGAAAGAGCAGAAACCCCACCAGGGCCAAGAGTGTTGTACTGGGAACCTGGGAGACCATGGTTCAAATCCCTGCTGGGCCATGAAACTCACTGGGGTGACCTGGAGCCAGTCACAGTCTCTCAGCCTAGCCTACCTCACAGGGATGCTGTCTGGATCAAATGGGGTGGGAGAGTACCATGTATGCCACTGTGAGCTCCTTGGAGGAAAGGCGGGGTATAAATCTGATAAATAAGTAAAATGAATTTGCAGGGACAGAGAGCCTCCATTGTCAACAGTTGTTGGCTGTATTATTTACTTCTGTGGGGCCACTGTTTAGAGTTCGGCCTCAGGCACCAAAACCTCTTGGGCCTTTGCTTAGGGAAGAGGTGAAGGAAGCTCTGGGATGTCCTAGTCCTGGGATAGCTCAGTCAGTAGAGCATGAGATCTCAGGGTCATGGGTTTGAGCCCCACATTGGGCAAAAGATTCCTGCCATGCCGGGGGTTGGACTAGTTGACCCTCAGGGTCCCTTTCCAACTCTATGATTCTCTGATTCTATGTTAGGCACTCTGAGACACAGTGCAGAAGGAGGAGGGGTGGGCATTTCAATACTTTGCCTCAAACTGTGAAGTGGGGAGTCAGGTCCCTCTACTGTTGCCACTTGTGGGCCTAGCGGTTCAAGCAAGGGATCACAAATTGGGCATTTTTAATCCCAGCAAGTATAGCGACAACAAAACCTGGCACCTCTTTTTTTTATATATAGCTTCCCAGCCTGAGTTTGGCGCGGAGTGCATGCGGCTGGGACAGGAAGGCAGGCCTGCAGCAAAGCGCTGACAGAGAGTTCGCTCCCGGGAGCCGGATCAATGTGTCAGCGCGGGGGTCGCTGGGAATCCCCCAAAAAATCAATGCGCTGGTGTTTCCGGGCTGTGGCCGCCTAGATTAGCCTGGTACAGAGCTGACAGGGGCACTAATCAGGCTGTCAATAACCCTGACCCTGGGCAATTAACCTATCGACAGGAACGGGGCAAGGGGAAATACATGGGCTGTGGGGTAAGAAGGTACAGGAAAAGACCCCTGTGCAGGGAAAGAGGGGGCAGGGGAAGTGAACATGTGAAAAAAAGAGGCCACTTTCCCAACTCTTCGCCCTGTTGCCATATACTTGCTTAGTAATGAAGACCCCCACAAATGAGAGAGGGCCACAGCTATAATGTGCTTATTTCAATGGCACACGTTGTTAATAATGCTTCCATACAAAACTTCCACAACTCTGGCACTGCTTCATCACAGCCATCGTGTACTTTTCCCATCGTGTATTTTTCTTCTGGACCTGTTACTCTAAAACTTACTGCAACTCATAAAATAGCACTTCACAGGCATACATCTATCATAATATGTGAAGTGTGCTTCCTAATTTCCAATCCTTTACCATGTCTGTCCAATTTTAAATCTAAATCTTATCTCTACCCTCCTGAGGTCTAGAAACTTGTTTGTTTCTGAATGAAATTTAGGATTCTAGAGCTTTAAGTATGCATCAATGTGCCCCACAGTAAGTCACTGAGGGGACAATCTGGTGTTGCCCATTCTGGTTATATATCTGTATCAAGGCCAGAAAAATCTCTTTTTGCAGACAAAATGGGCCAGAGGAGCTTGACTGCATGTGAATTTGCATGTCAAAGGGAGCATGAATGAAACAGATGAGGAAGTAAAGAGAAAGAGATCCAGAAATACAACTGGGGCGGGGTGGTAGGTGAAGGTTTCAGATTATGGCCTGTTTTTAAGCCAATTGCATCTTTATCCTTTATCATAGATAGATAGATAGATAGATAGATAGTCAGACATATTGCCATGCACAACTGGATACCACAACACCTGGATTTTATCTTACATATACCAATTCTGCCTTTGGATAAAATCTGTAAATAATTCCCAGCCGAGTGTTTGCCAGTCCATCTTCTCACACCTATCTATGCTTGCTGTTTGTAGCCCATTGACAAAAAAGTACCCACTGCCATCCATTTTACAAAATCTTTATTGCTTGGTCACCTGCAGACAAAGCTTTAACTCGCCACAGGTAACCTTGCAAGTGCCTACTTGTAAGCCTGCTTTATCTCATCCTAAAATTCAGATAATCTGACTTCTGAGAGGCAATTAGCATGTACTCTGCATCCCATTCTGTGCAGCCATGCTGGCCTCCGTGGTGTATTCCTTCGGAAGGGTAAACGCCACATGATGATTTGGTGCAAATATGCAATAAGTCAAGCATCCCAAGTAACCGAAAACCCGCATCAACCTGATGTGCCTTTGCCACTTAGAGTAATAGAATCAGAGAATTGTAGAGTTGGAAGGAAACCGCCCAAAGGCTCACTTTCAGATGCGCCCAAATACTGGTCCCAAAAGACAGCTTGACCACATTCAAGTGCCTAGCTCAGTTGGTAGGGCATGAGACTCTTAATCTCAGGGCCGTGGGTTTGAGCCCCGTGTTAGGCAAAAGATTCCTGAACTGTAGGGGGTTGGACTAGATGATTGCCATGGTCCCTATCAACTGCACAATTCTATGTTCAGTGCACAACTACTGTCTACAGATTACAGGGGTCTGGATGGGGAGAGTTGAGTGGGTGTTGCACAGCAAGCTGGAGAACGGAGATGGGTACTGGCTTTTAGGATATTGTCATCTGCAGACACCCTGGTGCCTATTTTAATTAATTGTGTACATTGTGTGTATTGCTCATGGTGCAGGACAGCATAGTCACACTCCAGTTTGAAGATACTAGCACATTTTATTTTTTAAAAAAGTTTAACAGTATGCTGTTGGCTTGTGCTGAAGCAGTGCATGTTCTGCTTTGGAGAGATGGACTGGTTTGGATGCCCATATGGCTTGCAGTGTAAAAGAGGGGTCATGTTTACCCTAGATCCCATTGTGTTGCCCTGCACGCCCCTCCTCCCCTCACCCCCCACCTTGTGACCCCATAAATATGAATTCGAAACCATCCTGGTGAAGGTCACAAGGGCAACGAACGAATAATGGCTCGAGGACGTGACTGGTGATGGGGCTCTGGTGTTTCCACCGGCCACAAAATATGCCAGGGCCGAAGAAGAGAGAGGAGGAAACTGGAACCAAAGCAGTGGCAAACAACCAAGGATGTCCAGACAGAAACAGCATCACAGCACGTAAAAGGAAAGATGTACCGTATTTTTTGCTCTATAGGACTCACTTTTTCCCTCCGAAAAAGTAAGGGGAAATGTGTGTGTGTCTTATGGGGCAAATGCAGGCTGCGCAGATATCCCAGAAGCCAGAACAGCAAGAGGGATCACTGCTTTCACTGCGCAGAGATCCCTCTTGTTCTGGCTTCTGTGATTCAGAATATTTTTTTTCTTATTTTCCTCCTCCAAAAACTAGGTGCGTCTTATGGTCTGGTGCATCTTATAGAGCGAAAAATACGGTACTTCTCCTGAGACATGCAGACACGCTGGAACTGATACAAAAGCAGAGGAATTCATCCATGTTGCAAAGCATACAATGGGAAGGTATAAAACCACTGGCCCAAGAGGGTGGGGGCTGTGTTCTAACCGTTCCCAAATAGGCAATAATGTTTCTGCCCTGCTGGCTTTTTTTATTTTTCTTAAGATGGATCTGGCAAATAGCTGCTTATTTTTGATAACTGAAAATGATTTGGGAGAGGCATCAGTTCCCGTCTTTTGCCTCGCTGATCAAACAGGTTTGGTAGGTTTTTGAAACAATACGAAAACCTGCCAAACCTGTTCGGCACCGATGAAACTTCACATGACCACCAGCAATGGCTCTTTCGAGGTGTCTCCAGCTATCTAGGAAAACACACGAGAGACAATTGTCTGGCTCCAGATTTAGTGAACCAAGCAAGGGGAAGAATAAAGCAGAGCAAAACTTCATGCACTTCAGGGCTGAGTTGCATGATTTACATTTAAGAGTGCTTTAGATTTAAACGATGCTTGCTGGATAAGGCTGTGAAAAGTGCCTTACTAGATCAGACAAAGGTCCATTAGATTCCAGATTCCATCCAGATTCCAGTGTTTGGCCATTGGGGTGTGCTCTGATGCAGCAGAGCTCTGTGTACTTTCTTATGGTAGAGCCAGGTGCAGAGTACTTGGAAAGCCTTATGAGGTGCCACAAAACCTTTTCCCTTCATTCATTAGGCACTGCAGGAATTCTTGGTGTGGGAAAAGCATAGCACTGAGCTTCATCACAGATGTAAATCCCCCATCCAGCAGGGCCCACCTTTGAAAACTGGATCTCCACACATCCAAAGAAACATTCACACGCACTCCCAAGTTGTTCTGCGGCAGGCTAAACGACACTTTTAGTGTCACACATGCACACAATCATGTGGCTGTGTGCAGACTTTGTCCAAATGTGTCCGTAAGAATGGTTGAAGTATACGCAGGTTTCCTGGGAACTGTGACCCAATGCAGATTCTGTCAATTGTCTACAAATCTGCATTTACATATTCAGAGGTATCTTGCTTAGGAGCGCTGTCCGACAGACGGTCTGGCCATGGAAGAGAGAACACAGCTCGTGCTTAAGGCCATCAGGAAGCAAGACGAGAGGAGAAGAAACTGCCCCATCCTTGGACCCCATCATCCCCAAGCATCCTTAAGGGAAGAAAGGAGGTTCATCCATATACTTTCTTCCTACTCCCTTCTCTCTCTTCACTTGCTGCCAAACTGCTGGACCTGAATAAACAGGGACAGGGCAACCGAAGAACGGCGCAGCCCACCATCCCCAGTCGGGAATTGCTGAACCTGTGAAAATCTGCTTCAGAAATCCGGTTAGTGGAATCCAGTTACATTCCAACTGCATCAGGAGACTGGAAGGGATGGTCTGGGGGGAGGGGGGAGCTGAGGCAAGAGGTTTCCATGTTCTGGGAAGGGTGAGGAGAAAGGAGGAGGAGTCGAAGCACAGATACAGGTATATAAGTCTGGCGTTTCTGAACTCTTGTATGATCAAAAGTTGGGGGTATTTTGGCAAGCCAGATACAGCTCAGCGGAAATAGTCCTGGAATACTAACCCCCCCCCCCCCCATGGTTTTCTATCTGTCAAGTTTTTTACATACCTTTTCATTCTCACAGTCCTTGGGATTCCAAAAATCTGTGTTTGGGTCTTTATGTATTTATTAAGCCAACCAAAATGTCATAAAACATAATACAAGTTTTTCCCCCCAGGTTTTCCAGAAGTTTTAATCAAGCTATACGGCAAACAAAGAAAAGAGGGCAGGGGGCAGTAACTTGGCTGACAATTAAGTTTTTCCACCAACACCCCAGCTTTGTTTATCATTTAGCATGATGAAGAGTTCTAGATAACTCTAAAGCTCACACACAATTTGCTCAAGTACAGACTCTTCTTCTGGGTCAACATGGCTAAATTTTTGGGATGCCTAGATTTTGCCCCTTTGGCAACCAATAATACGCTGGGATAATTTAGGCACGGAAATTAGACATTCGGTCACAGAACTGTGCACTCTCTTATGGCAAATAAGGACTTTGCATGGCTGCCTTTGCCTTCCATCAGCGACAGGGGTTGTGATCCTCTACATCAGAAGAGACGTGGTCCACTGGTTTGTCTCATTTGGGGGAGACTTGGGGAAAGAGTCTCTCTCTCTCTCTTTCTTAAGGGGGAAGGGGGTGTTGTGAGTGGGTGGCTGGTTATTTTGCTGGCTCGTTTTAAACAAAAGCTGTCTGGATCAAAGAAGAAACTTGAAAAAGATTTTTTTTAAAAGAAGACATAGAAAGCTGGCCAAAGAAAAACACAAGGACGTACGCAAATGAGCAAGAAAGATGTACAACAGTGAACACAACAGGAAAGAAAAGACAGAAGGAAGAAGAATGGGAGAGAAAATGGGAAGAAATGCGTTTGCACCAGGTCCAATCTTGCAAGCATTGCTCTATTTCCTTTCTTACCAAACCCCTGAGGCTTTCAAAGCTATTTTTTTTCCTGCATGGGAATCTTCTATCAGGGGCAGCAGGATGGGGGCTAATTATGAAATAAAATTAATTAATCACTGCAAACCACAAGGCTGGCCCAGCGGGGCACTAAAGAGATGGCTTTTCTTCCCCTCCTCGGGGCACAGAAATTATTTGCTGCCGATGAATTATTTAATGATGCGGTGTTCATTATGTATTATTGATCAGGAAGGATGGTTATTGTCGCCAAGATAGCCCAAGCTCTTACCTAGCCTCCGATTCACTGTCACGGATGAGGACCTGATCTTGTAAGCTCTTATTCCTCCCACTACATCTCCATTGTTTGGGGGAGACACACACCCCCCTAAAATAAATCTGCGGTTAGCATCTGGTTTATCAGCCCACGCTGCAAACACTTCGGTCTTATTCTCACCCAATGGGGCTCAGGGTTGATCTTTACACAAAGCTGCTGCACCCATTCCAACCGCCTTTTTCATGGCCTTATCTTTACTTATTTTAAACATTTATATGCTGTTTTTCAGAGGCTCAAGACGGCTGACACCGAGACAAAACCTGGGAAATAATTCTTTCTGGGGTGTGATGTTTTTTGGGTTGGCCCTCCTTACCAGCAGCTTCAAAGAAAACACAATATTTGAGTGCAAGCACATAGTTAATTTTATGCCATGCTTTTCCTGTCCCACAAACTCGCATGGGTTCTGTTATCTTTGAAAAGTTCCCCCCCTTCAAAAGCCTCCCCCTAAGGGGAACTCTCTTATACCAAAGGTGGGCTTGCCACCACCACTCCACATCAGTTTTCCTTCTTTATTATTGCTATTTAGTTACTGCATTTATATCCCACCTTTTTCTCCCGGGAGCTCAAATCAAGAGATTGGCTGATTTTGCACAAGGTGCTGCTTTCAGGGGCCACAAATTGCCTGGGGAACGAAGCAAGTTGGTATTATTTTAAATCACTAGGTTTATTTCTGTTCGAGGCAAGAGGAGGAAAGGTTGCCTTTTCCTACAGACCAGCGGTAGCCAACATGGTGCCCTCCAGAAGATATTGGATTCCAACCCCCATCGGCCCCAGGCAGCTTGAAACCAACAGCGTTTCAGGCAGTCCAACAAAAACTGGCCAGTACGTCATCAGTGAGCCATGCTTTGCCTTCTTCACTAACCCAGGGCATCACAGTCCCAGAGGGCATTAGCATCCCTCCTTTTTCCGCAGCATGTAAAAGATGTCCTTCATTTCAGACACCACCAGGGCGCAAGAGCATCCCGTTATTAAAAATTTGGCAGCACTGCTCAACAGTGTAATATACCCATGGAAATAAAATGCAGGAGCAATAATACTGGGCATTACTGCAATACACGTGAAAGGGATGTGTGCACTTGTTCATTTCACCAGTGTGCCCTTCGATTCTCACGCACACCCCACAACGGCCAGGATTTCCCAGCAATTTTGCCATGCCGAAAACCAAAAGGCTGGGGAGAATTTGAGATTCTCCCTCATCTTGAACTCCATGCCTTTGTCAGGTTGCCAACTTTCCCACTGG